AGACCTTCTAGGGTTCTAGGTGTAATATTAAGGACCTATATAGCGGAGGCAACAGCATATAGCTATAGAGACTTTAGAAGGTTAGCCTATAGCATTATCTTTCTCGCAGTCGTATATACGATATAATTGCTAACCTTAGTAAGGCTATTCTAAGTTGATAAATAAGGTGCAGTAACTTATAGTATAATGCCCTCGTCTCGAGCCTAATTTAATAGCTAACTTCCGCTATATTTACCCCCTCTATCGAGGCGGTAGATTAGGATTAAGTAACTAGTCTGTATATAGATATATATATAATGGTCCTTAATAGCCACTATAGCCCCTAACTTAAGCGTGCTAGTATATTCGTGTCGATAGCCTAACTTAGCGCATATAAACAGTGTGAAATAGCGCTCCTATAACAGACTAGGGTTAGTAATAGTAACTATATCTATACAGACAATATAATAGATCGTAGATAGTCGTACGCGTAGCAGCCGATTGTATTCCTTATACGACATAGCTATGCGATAGGCAATGCAGTTGCGGAAGTCGTTCTTGTTGCTAGTGCTAGTAATAATAATCTAACCCTTAGCTTCTATTCGTAACAGCTTGCGGTAATGGATATAGCTATATCGTAGATGCTACTCTTCTATCGTACCTATTAGCACCCCCTTCTTCGACAGAAGCGTAACAACTTAGCTATCCGGTCCGGAGGTTGGTATATACAGATAGGGGAGACCATTCTTCCGATATGTCTAAGCAATAGTAACCTTAGAGCCGTTAACAACAGTAAACAGTACTCGCTTGTTATTCCGATAGAAACAGCCCTTGTCGGCAAGCTTCTTAGTAGACAGAAGGTTGGCTGCTAGACCTAGAATATACAGTGTATTAGACAGCTTTATGCTGCTTACACCACGCTTATTAACAACCTTAGTTTAAGCTATACTAACTATCGTAGCGTGCTTCGTATTGCTACTAAACCGGACAGGAATGTAACAGCCTTTATATTTAATAAGCAATAAAGGGTTATTAACTATATGCATGCTAGTACCTAAGTCGACAACCTAATTAGTAGTACGAGTCGCTATAGTAAGTGCTATAGAAGCTGTGTTACTAATAGTAATCGCATTAAAGGCGTAGTTGCTGCTTAGGTCTAATAACACCCCCGGGGTAGCATTAGCCGCATATAGGCCCTAGGTACTATTCTAACTAGATAGCAGCTGTTGCTGTTGTTACTATATAGTTAGTCTACGCTGCTGCTATTGCTGCTTCTTAGCCTTCTACTTCTCGCGACGAAGACGGTCTTCTTCCTTTAGGTAAGGGTATTTAGTATAGCACCGATCGGATAAGTAAGCGCCTTAGCAGTATAAGCACTTCTCGCGATTCTAACTATTCTAGCTGCTTCTACTACGACCACGACTATTGTTGCTGTTTCCGCGGCTACTACGACCGCTACGGTTCGAGTTACCTCGACCGTTGTTATTGCTATTACTACCCTACTATTATAGTTAGCGCTAAAGACTAAAGAAGCCGTTGTATTAGGCCTAGTTCAATTAAGCTACATTCTTATTAAGCAACGCGCTAATAATGTTGTTAAGGGTACTGTTATTAATAGTATATTCTAAGGCGCGTATTTGCTTACGGCGCATCTATACGAAAGCCTCGTAGAACGGTGCAATTTGTATAATAAATATATAGATAGCCTAATATTAGCTAATAGCCAATTTAGTCTCCTTTAAGGTACTAAGCTTCTTCTTATACTTATTATAGAACTTCTTAATGTCCTTGCTATTATACCGAAGGGTAATATATTCCTAGTAGAGTATGAATTTAGTAGACCTACCTTTACTAGTATATTTCTTCTTTAGGAAGTCCTATACTTCCTAGGATGTAGATAGACTAAGCAGTAATTATTAAATGTTACTAACACAATTAGCAAAGATCTAGGTACGTGCTGTTTAATCTTTAGAGTCCTATTTATCTTAGCGGTCTTTAAACTCCTTAGAAGTCTTACTAGATACCTTAGTAAGAGGTCGCTAGCGGGTACCTTGCATATAGCGCTAGACCGATATACCTTTAAGAGCGCCTTTAGCGGCGTAGGCCTACGCTAGATAATTCTCCTTGTTCTTTAGCTTAGGAATGTTGCTTATATAAGCGTTAGTAGTTATAGGGGGAGCTATTACGGACAGCGACGGCGATATAGAAAGAGACTATAGACTTGTCTTAAGAGGCGGCCGATAGGCGCGCCTACGTTCTAGTATAGCGGACAGCTAACACTAGTATAGCGGACAGCTAACACTAATAATAACCGACTCGAGTCGGACTAGCACCTGCTAGAACACTCGAGAGCGGCGGTAAGGGTAGCGGCGACAATATCGGTATCGGCGCAATTATTAGTAACAGGCGCTAGCTACGTAGCAGTCAGATTAACTATTAGAAAAACGTATAGAATGCGTTAGAAACGTAGGGGGCTTATAACTACTTAATGTAACTAATGTATTTAGAAGAAGGACTATCTACGGAAAGTCTAAAGATAAAGTATAGTAGTTGCAGCCTTAGGCATTAGGCACGTAATAGACCCTAACACCTAGACATATACTCTAAGTCTATATTTTAGCATTATTAAACCGCTAGTTGCCTTCTACTTTAACCTTAATAACTAGTAGTAGATTAAGGGCCGCTACGAGCTTATCGAGTGTCTCTAGGTCCTATTATATATCTAGTAATTACGAATAATTAGGCGGTAGTTCTAGCTAAGAGTACTAAGACTAGTCGATTGCTTAAGATTCTATACTTTACTAATAAATTTGCTAGGCAATCGATAGTCTACGAGCGACTAGACCTATAGCTATCTCTTATATCGAACTACTAGCGACGAACGAGCCGTTATAATCGCTACCTTCTATTTTATTTTATACCTAAAGCTACTATCTAAAGTCTACGAAGGTTACGAGACTGCGCTAAGAACGCCTTTACTAAGATTGCGACGATACGATAACTATATTAGAAGATATACCTCGTTATCTAATTTACTTATTATAGCGGCCGCTAATATAGAAGGTTATATACTAATAAGCGCTATAATATTAAAGATTGGATTATAGACACGACAGGCTCTAAGACTATTTTCGCTTACAGTTTCGATTGTTAGAGCCTTAGAGGCTAAATTAGTATTCGTAAAACTTAAATGTGTTACCTCTACGCCCTAATTAAGCGAGACGGCGGACAGGGGTAGTCTCCGTAAGCGGCAGCTAGCTCGAACATGTTAGACGTAAACTTTTTAAAGGTGCGGATAATTCCTTTAGGCAGTACGCTAGCTTTAACTCGGTAGATCCCGCTTTCAGGGACTACCCCCTTCCGCCATCTCGCTTAATTAGGGTGTATAAGGCATGCTCGAGTGAGCGTATCCACCAGGCTTCGTTCGGAATAATGACATGCAACTTGCCATGACCCTTGAAAACAACCAGACCAGGGCTCTGAAGAGCTCGCTTGTGATGGGAAGTGACCAGGTTCACGGTGGATATTTGTGACAGAGACGGAAAAGTGCATGATTGGACGCAACGGACACCTTGGGAGAGGGGGGAGGGCATTCAGCCATCACGATGCCCGTCCAGCAGAAACAATAGCGTGAGGGGAAGCAGCGCATATGGGGTGAAAGCTGAAAGGGCCTGGTCGAGCGAGACGTGTGTTTGCTTCGCGGCTGCAAATCATCGCATCTGACAGACATCTCATGCCTGTCAGCATTTGCTTGGTCGCTCTGCCGAGCTCCGATGGAAAGGTGGAGACCAGGTCATCTGCCGCTGTCGAGGCTGGAGATGTTGTACACAATGGCACAGCCGTGAACATTACCGTTATTACACGGTGAACACAGACCACCTTAGCGCGTGTCTTATGAACACGTAGGTGAATATAAGATTAGTAATAATCACTTAGATAAGTAGCTAGAATAGCTAGAATAGCTGGTTTGCCGCCCTAGCCGGGTTCTCGAGGTACTAGCGCTATAGAGATTTTTTTATGCCCCGGTCCGTACTACCTCGAGGGCGTATTTGTTCGCGTTCTTTCGTGTTAGTATCAATAGCGGCGATAATATAGACGAAGATAGCGGCAACAACGCTATCGACCTTACTACCGACAGTAATAGCTAGTAGGGCTATTGTCTATACTAAGATTGTTACTATATACCTTCTATATATCTTATTTCCTTTATTGTTCTACTTTGTATAGGATACGCTATAATAACTAGATCCACTTGCTGACTAATCTATGTCTCGTATATGTTCATATAGTGAACACCGTGTTCATAAGCCCGGAAATTAAATACACCGTGAGTCTACATCTCTAGTCGAGGCAGGTCGGATGGAGACGAAGGAGGCCTCTGAACGCTCGAACCTTGTCTCGATAGACGAATAGATTGACGAAGGACAGGGCCTCGTGGTGTGTGATGGCGCGGTGCACTGGACATGCTCATCAATAGTCGACGGCCGGCTCAATGGTGCACGCGCGAGCTCCGCAGGCGCTCCACTTGCCGATTCCAGGACGGCCGCGCCGAGCGATGTGTTGCGAGGTCCAGCAGCACGTAGAATATTCGAGGCAGAGGCAGAGGCAGAGGCAAAGGAGCAGTGAGGATGAACACGCTCATTGGCGCCAGGAGAGGCGTGGCTGCTGTCTTCAGTCAAGGAGCAACGCCGGCTCGTGGTCTGCGATGGAATAAACTGGCTTACAGTAGGCTGCCAGGCTGAGCCGGTCTAGCCCCACGTCGGGTCGGTTCGCGCCAGCGTGCATGTCCTTACGCGAGCTCGCGCACGCCTTTCATAGGCGGCATCGACAAATTAAAGCCTCGGGCTACAACCTAGATACAAGGCAGCGCAGCGCAGCACGCTAGAGCTCGCTCGCAGCAAGCGTGACGTTCAGGCCGAATCGAATCGGCCCAAGGAGGACGGCAGGTTGAGCTGCGAGTGTGTGTGCGACTTCACTGTCGTCCTCGTCGTCGTCCTCGAGCGCGAGCCCAGCTGGCCAGCATGAGCAGCAGCAGGATGCAAGCGCCACACCCGCCGACCGAGCACCAGAACTCGTCGCATCAAGCTCCTGCGCCAGTCAACCTGCCTCCCATCCACCATTTTCCGCCGCAACACCCAGCCATGCAGTCGCCGCCGCCCTCCTACACCGCGCCCATGACCAGCAATGGCCCGCCGCCGCCGCCGCCGCCGCCGCAGCACCCTCAACCCTATCCTCCGCCGCAGTATCATTATCAAAATGGCGTGCCGCCGACGATGCAGGCCAGCGTGGCGGCCAACGGACAGAATGGCTTGATGCGCATCCCGCTACCACACGCGCAGCTGGACTCGCGACACATGTCCGGCGGGAGGCATAAGAAGGAAATCAAACGACGCACAAAAACCGGCTGTTTGACGTGCCGTAAACGGCGCATCAAGGTGAGTGAGTATATCGAAGAAGTGGTGCAGCGCTGCGCTGCGCTGCGATGTTACGCGATGCGAGGCGGTCGCGTCTGCGGAAAGAAGCGAGCGAACGGGCTAAATCAAGCGAGACCTTGTTCACTGCACTGCACGCATCAACAAGAGCAACACCGCCATCACTATTTCCACCCGGCACCACCGCTGACCACCACACAGTGTGACGAAGGCCAGCCCACGTGCCGCAATTGCTCCAAGTCCAAGCGTGAGTGCTTGGGCTATGATCCCATCTTCAAGTCACAACCAAGCCCTGCCAATATTCAGCCAGCACCCACCGGCAACCCAGCGTCGTCGTCTGCTTCACATCCAGGCGCAGGCAACCCATACCATCAGGCCCCGCAGACCTTTCCTGGAACGGGCGGTACCTTCATACATACTCAAGCTGCTGCTGCTGCTGGAACATCCGCACCTCCCGGCTACGCGTACGCCTCATTAGACCCTGCGCTGTCCAGTGGCGACCCATCAGCACACATGGCGCATAGCAATTATCCGCATGCTCTTCAGATGCTGCGAAAAGGTATGTGTGACAACCATCTTGTGGCTGACATTGCCCTCTGACATTCTTTTAGTCAGCGTGATACCCATGGAAGATCTATTCGCTCTCAATGATATACCGCCTCGCTACCATTCGAGAGAAGCGCCACAGCCTCTTCCTCCCCAAATGCAAGAGGAACTGGAAGATTTTGTCAAATATCACTATGTTGCCGGCCTTGATCGCGTACTTGAAACCACATGGTACTCGCAACGAGGATGGTCTCATCTACAACGCGATCCGATGCTCCTGGATTTTGTTGCTCAATGTGCCGAGCAATTCAAGCAGCGCGACGAAGCCAACGAGAAGCTCAGGACTTCGCTGGAAGCGCGTCTTGTGTGGCAATTAGCGACTATGCCTCGTGCAGCAGCATCACAGACCAATGGCGTTGGAGTTGGTGTTGACCCGCTGCTCCAAGAAGTGTTGCCTCGCATTGATGTTCTTGAAAACCTACTCACTGGTCAATTTCTCGACCCTAGCAGGATACCGCCGCCGCCGCAGCAACAACAACCCCAGCCTGGCCAGGACCCTGCTGCAGCAAATCAAAAATACAACGAGAGATCCTTCTGGCATCACCTAGGCCGGTTGGTTTCTCTCAGAGACGACACTACATCAGTACAGAAGGACATAGACGACACACTGAACGTCATTAGAAATATTCTGGGCATGCTCGAGAACCGAGACGTGCTCTACTCCATCGCAATTGGACGGCACATAGGTGGGAGGATGCCGGACTTCCATCCACAGCGACACCTAGTGGCCCCGAATAATGACCCTAACAACCCAGTCACCAAACTCAGCATTGCACACAGCTTCGTGGAATCAGAAGACCAACGAGGCACAACGCAAGTCATCCAGAGAATCTGTTCCATGGCCATAAGAGGGTGGATACTTTCAAAACGATGATGAAAAAAAAGGCCACAGTCCCTTGTACTACAAATTTTTCGGTATTCAGTTTTCGTTGCTGGAGAACCGGACTCTGGTAGGCGCAAATGTTTTGCTGGGAGATACCACTTGAGAGAAGTAATGTAACCTTATATCGCTCTTCATGGCCACAGCCGCCAAATTTTCGGTTCTTCGAGGAACATTCTACCCATCATGACATCCTTCACTACGTCTCGTGTCTTGCCCGTGTGAATCTTGAAGACAAGCATGAATGTCAGTGATTCATGAGTAGAGAGAGCGCACTTTCACAAAAGCGATGACAGAGAGCAGCAGTTACGTTCGTTAGCTTGACCATCGATGGATATTCTTTCGAATCTGTGCACACGAACGAAACCATGAACATCCACAATTGATTTGAAGTTGACTTTCATACTCATGCTATACCCGTAGTGTCTAACCAACGCCCGGAAACATGCTGAGCCATCGAAGTGCGCTGAGTAAAACCGTGCCAGCTGCCCCGAAAACTCCTTACCTTCTAAAAACCCAGTAAAACGCCTCGTGGATTGATCCAAACACGATAAGCTTCGAGTGTCAGACCTATTCTGTCGACGATGATGTCGCAACGCATCACACTGTGGAAAGCATAGGATAAATTGCTGCATGTGCTCGTAAGGCACCAGCAACTTCGGTGAGAAAAATGCTCAACCCGCCATTATTAACGCCGAACAAACCAGGATCCAGTCCGAATGAGACCCTTTGAACAGAAGCCACTGTGAGCGCCCCGCCTTGAAGTCCAGCGAGCGTCTAAGGCTTGGGTGGCAGGCGAATGTCGCCCTGTCGTAACTCAACAATGGGCCACATGGTTATGACCGAGGAGTCTTGCCGGCATTGTCGAGATATGTTGGAGCCCACTTCTTCGCCCACTGGCGCAGTACTATGGACGCTGGAATATGTTAGCGGAATGTGTGCCTCGAAACGACATGGTGATTAGGGCTTACCCTTCAAGAACTTCTTGGAAGCATACTTGCGGAAGAATGCCTCATGCACGACCGGTGAGTACAAATAGTCAACCATCAGCTTGAAGACAGGCTGGATGTCGGCCTCGGTGTAGCCAGCATACTTGGCGAGAGTCGCGTCCCACTCGCCGCGATCGAGAGCAAGTCGTGCGAGGTACATGGCTGCGGCAGCCACTTGGGAAGGAGGATACTTCAGAAAGCGGTGGTCAAGACATCCGATCTCGAGCAGATACTTGCCAAGGGTGCGCGTCTGGATGTCATAGTTGTCGGCTTTTGAGATGCGACGGAGGAAGTTCATCGGGTTGGGATACGAGAGATCGTAATCAAGGGTGGAGAGGACGAAGCGCTCCGCAGACAATATCTCTGTGTCCTTGAAGCCGTCATCGGCAACGTGGACAAAGTTCTGAACGTGCGGTGAGAGGACTTCTTCGTACTTGGATGCGATGAACATGGCGGTGACACCGACCAGTTGGAGACGATCAAGCTGGACAACCTTGCAGGACAGGAAGCGGTCGATGATGTTGACAGCCAAGAAGAGTGTTTCTGGCAAGAGTCTGAATCTAGCGTGCACTTCCAAGAGCCAGTCGACAAGGATACCACGCATCTTCCATTCCAGATCGGTTTGGTTGGCCATGTAGTCAGGGTTGGGCAGCGTGGAAATTTCAAGGTCTTTCATGTAGTCGAAGATCTCGTGGACATACTCGGCAACCATGAGGGGGTCGTCAAGGTCTTCAGAGTCGAGGTCCTTGGCCTCCTTGATGAGCTGCTCGAGTGACTTCTCCTGCTCGTACTCATCATCATCGTCAAGCTCGATAGGTTCGCTCAGCATAGACTTGACAGAGGCTCTCTTCTCGACTTTGGACTTGGCTCCATTGGTCGGCGGCGGCACGTTCTCAGCATCGTCATCAACATCATCATCATCAAGGTCGTCCTCCACGGCTGCAGAGCGCTTCGGCTTGGTCGATGAGGTGTTGCGCTTCTTGCTTGTAGGTCCAGTTCCAATGCCAGAGCCGCTGTAAGGTCGCTTCAGCTCTGAGGACGCGTTGTTGGAGGTCTTGGGGCCGAGGGCAGTACGAGTCGAGGTGGAACGCGCTGGTTGCTTCTGGATGCCAGCAGGCTTCGCGGCCTTGGAGAGAGTAGCCTTTGACAGAGTGTCCTTCGCATTGCCCTTCTCAGCCAGCGGCTCCTTCTTCGCGACGTTGCTGACGTCTCCCAGTGCGGTCCTCTTTCGTGCAGCCAGGGTGCCGTTAGTGGTTGCAGTAGTACGCGTCGTTGTCAATGCCTTCTTGGGGGGATCGCCAGCAGAGGTCGTCTCCAGTGCGGCAGCCTTTGCACGCGTGAGGCGTGTAGTGCCGGTTGCATCTGCATTCTCGTCGGTCACCGTGCGTCGAACTGCTCGAGCCTAAAATGATATCAGCCAAGAGCGGGTGAGAGAGGGCGGCGACGAGGAGCTCAAGAGCGTGCAGGACGTGGCTTACGGGCGGCATGGTATGTGATGAAGAGGTATTATGAGTCGATACGCGTATGCCGGTGGGTCAATAGCACACTTGAGTGCCAATGGGAGCGTGTTTCGGCGGTCTATCAAAGCCTGAGGTCAGTTGTTTTGGTCGGGCATGTTTAGACGGGCAGGCGCGGCATCACTCACCTATTGTGATCCAATGCTGGCCAGAGAGGTTGTTTGGTGGGCAGGGAGCCGTCGGCGGCAGTCAAGTGTGGTTGAGGGTGAGTTGGACTGGTATCAACATGAATTGCATGCACTGCACGGTGCGGATGGATGCTGCGGGCGGCGGAGGGTGATGGCTGGCGGCGGGAATGAAGATGCTGGCGGTAAGACGTCTCGCACGACTCCAGGCCAGTGACGGAGATCTGCTTGCACGGAAGTCTGCAGCGGGCGGTGCGGTGTCGAGGTGGTGAGGGAGATAGATGGGTTGTTGTGGAGGAGAGGAGAGGAGAGGAGAGGTGAGGTGCAGCAGGCGCAGGCGCGACGTCGAGCTGTGTTTTCGTGAGAGCGCGTCTGGTCCTGGCTTGGCGTGGAGCTGGTGGAGCTCTGAAGTGCCAGGGACGATCGCGTTGTTGTTGTGTGCCGGCGCAGGAGCAGGTCAATGCGTCCACCAGATCGAGATTGACAGGTCAGTATGATGATTCCTGCGATGGTTGTATGTGTTGCGTTGCGTTGCGTTGCGTTGCGTTGCGTTGCGCTGTTCGCTGTTCGCTGTGCCCGTCTCGTGATGTGAGCAAATTGCAGACGCGAAATGAGAGCGAGACGATGGTGATGATTCTGCTGTTGCGAAGAGCAACGCCCAGAAAGAAACAAGACGGGCACGCCAAAGATCGTGATCGCGGAAGCAGCCGCCACCTTGAACCTTCTACTTCGCTCACTTCAATGCCCTCTCGCCTCTCGCCGTCACTTGCAACAACGACTCCCACAAGGCGCTGAGACTCCGCTTTGAGCCTGCGCAGTCTGCAGTGCGCTCAAACCGTCGTCGTCGCTTCGCCGACTTGCCACAATGCTCCAGCCCCGGCTACGACCAGTTTGCTTTCAATGCCGCAATCTCCTTTCTGCTTTTCGACACACCTATGCCACGGCGGTAGAGAAGCCTGTGCCGGCATCGAGCACCTCCCAGCAGGTCACATCTTTCTCCCCGCCATCGTCAGCGCCAAGGAGAAATAAAGAAACATTCCAATTGAAGACCTACAAGCCGCGCACCCCGGGTGTGCGACATCTGAGAAGACCCATCAACGACCATCTCTGGAAGGGAAAGCCGCATCGACCCCTCACATTTCCCAAGATCGGCCATGGCAAAGGTGGAAGGAACAATTCGGGGAGAGTGACTGTGAGACATCGCGGTGGAGGCCATCGAAGAAGAATCAGAACCGTCGATTACATCCGAGCCGCGCCGGGAAAGCATCTGGTGGAGCGCATAGAGTATGACCCGAACCGTAGTGCGCACTTGGCGCTCCTGACGAATGTGAAGACACAAGTCAAGTCCTATATCATCGCTGCAGAAGGCATGCGCGCCGGTGATGTGATCGAGTCTTTCCGCGAAGGCATCCCAGGTGAGCTGATGAAAAGCATGGGTGGAGTTGTCGATCCGGGGATGTTGGCAGCGAAGACGGCCTTCAGAGGCAACTGCTTGCCTATGCGCATGGTGCCTATGGGAACACAGGTCTATTGTGTCGGCTCGCATGGAAACGGCAAAGGAGCAGTGTTTTGTCGAAGTGCCGGCACATTCGCTACGGTTGTCGCAAAAGAGGAGCGCGGGAAAAAGGTTGTCGATGTCACCGTCAAATTGCAAAGCGGTGAGGTGAGGAAGGTTCACAAAGACGCTTGCGCGACCATTGGTGTTGCGAGCAACCCACATTGGCACTTCAGACAGCTGGGCAAGGCTGGTCGAAGTAGATGGCTGAATATCAGGCCTACCGTGCGCGGTGTGGCTATGAACGCCGTCGACCACCCTCACGGTGGTGGACGTGGTAAGAGCAAGGGAAATGTGCACCCTGTATCGATCTGGGGTACTCCGGTAAGTTTCGAATGGCTCAGCGCTTCCAATCTTTGTTACTGACGTGGGTATCAGGCCAAAAGTGGATACAAGACGCGCAAGAAGCGCAACATTAATCAGTACGTTGTTCAGGAGAGGCCCCGTAACCAAGGCAAGCGAAGGGCCAAGAATTAGAGCTGCTTTACGTGTACAAATGCTACATTGTACAATATATCTAACATGTCTCTGCCGAGCCACCTACTCGTTCGAGAAATCAAAGCGCCTCCTTGTCGCGCCCCGCCTTGACCTCCAGCTTGTTCCACGCATCTCTTGCTTCGCTCAGACTCATTACTCCCGCCATATCCATAAATGGATTGCTCCTTGTCACGCCCTTATCCCCATTTCTCCCTGCGCGCTTTACTGCCGACAGCTCCCCTACTTGACGATTGCCTCCCTGCGGATCAGAGCGAAGACCTCCACTTCGGCTGTGCACGTCTCGTCCAGGAGGCTGAGCATTGTGCACACTTCGAGCACGGCCCTTGCCCTTGAGCTTCGTTTGCTGGGTCGGGTTTGAACGTTCCTGGGAAGGACTGCCCTTGTTCGCGGACGACCTAGTTTCATGCCTCGAATTCTCGCCTCGTCGACTTGCTCGTTCCTCCAAAGACGCCTGGCTTCGATGAGCGGAATCCTGATCATCCGAATGTTCACCCTGCTCAATGGCATCCCAAATCTTCCGATTCCTCTTCCTACGCTGTTCCGCAATCTTGGTCTTATAAAGATGTCTATAGCCGCTGAGCAAGGCCGTCTCCAAACGGTAAGCCTGCGATTGCGCTGTCTCCGTCTTGAGACCCCATTGCTCAACTTGAGGCTTCGATTCCTCAATGTCCATGATTGAGTATTGCCATTTCAGTTCACGGTAGTGATAGATTGGCCGTGATCCCTCGCGTTGTTCGTGCGTTGAGCGATCCATATACAACCAAATGTTCATTGTCGGCGCACCAGGCACGAAGTATGACGACTGCAGCCTATAAGCTTCGACCAGCATTTCACTCTCGATTTCTCCTTCGATCGGTGTGATGATAGCGATCTGCGGCACCACATCGATCTGAGTCGTGTACATTCCGCTAGGAGCTCCGTCATCTCCCATCATCATGAAGTCGAGGACGCACTGCAGTTGTAGAGGCGAGAAGTTGCTAATGGCGTAGAAGTCCTCTGGCTCAGAATCCAGATGCAGAGTTTCTATGAAGGTTCTCACGCATTCAGCATAGGCTTCGGTAGGTTGTCCAGTGGTCCCCATGGGGATTTCTCCTTTCTCACTGTAGTTCACAAACATTTTGCTCAAAAGCTTGTGAAATTCGAGAAGTTTTGGCGTCTCTTCGACGAGACAGAACTTCAGCGCTTCCAGCATAGCCTCGGGGCCGCATAGTAATTCCTCGTCGGGAAAAGTTCGTCCCATAAGATATCCACTGGCCGTACGTTCCTCCAGCGATCGGATCAAGCTCTCGTCACCTGCTATACGCCACGATTCGTGGTCGCTGGGAGGACGTTCGTCCCTTCGAGGCTCGATTGGCTTGCCGTTCTTGCCTTTGATTATCGTATCTGACTCGCCTGATACGTCGTCTGCGGAGTCGCCTTGCGGTACGTGGCGGCGGACGTTGTCCTTTTTGTGATGTTTCTCCTTTGGCACTTCGATGATTTCAAAGTACTCTTTTTCCTCCTCGTCGTCAGTCTCTGGTACTTCAGCATCGTCCTGACTGGACGGCACCTTCAAGCCCCATGTCTTCACTGTATGCCGGCCTCTGCTTCTCCCCTGGTTCCGTAATTGTCGCGCAAATCCCTGCCACGTCACCAGGACGAGGTCCTGAGTCCTATGCAGTCTTCCCGTTTTTTCGTTCCTCTCCACAACAGCAACTTGTGCTCTGCCTTCGGCATTCGTATTATAAAGCCAAATTGTCGTTCGATCTGGAGTAGCGGGTGGGCGAGGCTTTATCGCGGGATCCAGAATCTCCGCCGTTGCGACGAAACCGCCATCGGTGATGACTTCGCTTTTTGTGACCACACCAAGCTGGTGGATGCCGTCTTGCCGATCGTTCAGGAAGCCTCGACTCTCCATGAAACCTAGCATTACACGTAGCTGCTGTCGACCGAAAGAATTGCAGACCAACAACTTCTCGCGTTCCGCAACATACTCGGCTGATCGAACACCATCACGCTGTACGATGTCCCAAAGAAAAGCCTTTATGTAGCTTTCGTAGTGCTCCGTAGGATCCGCCAGACAGTCTGATGGTGATAGGTAAGGCCAGCCCTCGAGCTCGGTCTTCTGATCGATATCCCTGAACATGGCTCTCAAGACATCCTCATATCTCACACCAGTCCTGCATACCTGAAGTGCGTGCAGGGACGTCAGTAGGGCCTGCGGTCCACTAAAAGCAAAATCACCCAATCCTACGTGGCTTCCGTCGGAGTACGGATAGACAGAGTTGTCAATCCAGAACTGCAAAGATTGGATCACTTCTGGCGGGCCTCCAATGCGCCATCCGTGTTGAGATCGGGCTGCGAGTTCCATGTAAAGTGCAACAGCAGTTCTGGAACACACCTCTACGCTACCAAGGATGTCCACAATGGTCTGCATCGCTTGAATAGAGCTACGATTTGTCTTCGCTAACGTAGAACCCGTCTCTTTCAGATATTCAAGCTTGCTGAGGGTAGTGAGCAGTTTGGCCATTGCGTCTGAGCATGCTCCTCCAGGATCGACTCGTTCCAGCTCCTTCACGATCTTAGCCGATTCTTCCTTGAATATATCAAGGCTCCAAATGTTGACTACTTCCCAATTTTCAGAGCGTCCGTGCATTCGATTGTAGAAGCGATCGACTAAGACAATGATTCGAGGATCGCTCGTGATGAAGCCACTTACATCTCGCGGCAAATGGCGCTTGAGATCAACCATTTGATCGCAAAGCACATGAAGTGTCTCATGAGACTTCGCTATGATCATTTGAAGGCCTTCGTGCTCTTCCTCTACCAGCAAGGCGGCACGCAGCTCGGCGTCGAGTTTCTCGACATCCTGTCTGTGTCCATTAAGTCGATGCAGAAGCGAAGTAACCTCGTCATCTCTCCAGAATGGGACTTGAAGTTCTACCTGCCGAGCTCTCAAAGGTAGCAGGGTAACATCAATACGAGCGCAGAGGTCTTCCAATCTAAACGCAAGTTCCCGGACAAAGTGTGGGACATGAACATCAAAGACCGGCGATGGGACCGTCGTGATTTCGTCGCTTTTACCATCGACCTCCATAATTGCCCAAGTTTCACTCTTTGTCGGTGTTCTGGCCTCCAGTCGTCCTGACGTAGAAGTTCCAGGTTGTGTCTTGGGACTCTTCGGAAGTCTGTCGTTGCTGACGTTCGATTCGCGAATGTTCCGTGGGTTGTGCTGCCATTGCTCGTTGCCATCATCATCCCCATTGCTGACAGCAGGACCCAATAGTTCAAGCTGCGCGCGAGCCGATGAGATCAATTCGCCGACGATAGATCGAATATTTGGATTATGAGAGTCGAATCCTGCTCCAATGGCGCTCAGGAGCTCCGCTATTTCTGCTCGGAGTACAGACGCAATTGCTGTTTTTTCATCCTCGGGCAGGGCTTTGACTAGCTCTGTGGATTGGTGCAAGGACTTCATACGGTGCTGAAACTCGACAAGATCGCTTTCTGATGCTTTCGTAAGATTGTGAGCCATGGGACTTTTGGGGATGAAGTCTGTTGGCGTCATTCCTATCATCTCTTCATCTCTGAGCTCGGGGAGATCGACATAGTCAGCTCGAGATCTGAAGTCATTGGCGTAGAATCGATCCTCATCTAGGGCCCTCAATTCAGTTTCGACCAGCCATGTAATTTTCCTTAGTTCATCTTGGACATTTCTATTGCTCGACAGGACTGAGATGCCTCGAGACCTGGCCTCTAGTACCCGATGTTCGTTCTCAATAGAAGCATAGTCAGAGTTGAGTCTTACGTCTGCGTAGGCTGTCCCAAGTAAGCTCAATGAGTCCCTAATCAGCAACCGCCGCTCCTTGAGGCTCCGAACTCTGATCGATGCGTTGCTAAGTTTGGCCAGAATCCAGCTGTCTTGGGCAAAATGCCGTTCGCTCACCTTCACCATGGGCTTCAATTCTGCGCGTAGGCGCGAGAGGCTCTGGCGAGCCAAATCGAGCTTGATCACCGCTAAGTCCACTGCCGTGTGTCTCGAGTGTAGCAAATGAGGGCGGTCTCGCACGCTGCGAAGCATGAATGCCACATTGAGCAGCTTTAGCTCCGCCTCAGCAACTAGGTCCGCATCAATCTCTGTGTCTCGCGGGATGGAAGTGCTGTCCAGATTGTAGACAACCTCAATTTCGTCAAGTGTCCTGCGCAATTGGAACTCTAGAAACGATGTTGCACTATCGGCGCTATTCCAGAGATCATTGCTGCTTTGATACAGAAAGTCGACGTGTCGTGAGATTCGCTGCACCGTCAAAGCAGGTGGGCTTGGGTCGTGCACATTTTGCGCAGGGAGCGAGGCCATTGATCCGCCTTCATGTTCACCAAGGCCCGACAATTGCTTTCTCCTACGTGACGACTTTCTTACACGCTGAGGATGGTCGAAGAAGCGGTGATGGTCGTCCTCAGAAGTCGTACGAGGTGTTTGCAGTTGGGACTGGCATATTGACTTCCTTTTCGGGTTTGTTGTAAAATCGTCCTTGTGGCCATCACCTGCACTGTCCACATTTTGCAATTTGAGGAAGCGTGCCTTTTTGCATATCTCGTGGGGCCCTTTGGTACGCACGAAGCGGTCTGGGATGGCATGTGAGGCTCGCGAGGCGTTGTGAGTGGAGGTCGTGTCGTGACATACGCAGTCCAACTTCCCATTCCACGCAGTTGAACCTCCAGTTTCTGATGTCGTATCCCCTTTGTGCCTCTTTATCCTCTTGTACGAAGACCCCGCTGCAGCAGTACTTTCTCTACGAGCGGCAGTCAGTGGTGTTGAAGCGGCGTGCTTTTTTGATCTCTGCTCTTTTCCTTCCTCGGAAGGGCTTTCCACATGTGGAGGAGACGTTCCTTCCACATTCGAGTCTTCATTCTGTGGCAGGAGAGGCCGGGGATCATAGTTGGTAGTTACTCGCAGTGGATCAGCCGAATGTCGTACGCCAAGAAGTGAGGCCAAACTAGAGATACAGTGGACAAGACCGCTCCACAGCACAAGACATAGCGGTTGCAGTATGGCGTGCAGTACTGTCGACTCTTCCGCAACCACGACTGGCTCCTCGGCTTCATCTCCCACAGTCTCCGAATGCCAGGCAAGGTAGAGCCGATCTGCAAGACTCAACGCGTCGGCTTTGGCACTGCCCTGTCTATTGGGATCTTGAGCCAAGATGATACTAAGAGAAGAATTAGCATTCCCTTCTCGCCATGGCTGTGTCCCTGGCACCTTCTCTATCGCCTGTGTCGGCACGAGAGAGGAGCGTGAATTGCGCATCTTCTCTTCCCCCAAGTGAAACACGTCTTCGACGCGACGATCCTTGCTGGCAAGTGCCCGGCCCATATCGCGGAGGAAAGTGGGCAGGAGTTTGGCGGAGATAGCATCCATGGAGAACATGGCGATGATGGGAATGAGCAGGTGCCATGCGGTCCAGGCTTTGAATGCGTAAAAGTGGTAAAGCCACGAAACAATTCTGATGCAGCAGTACTACCCACGCATTAGCTTTTATATGATATCAGTGCAATGCAATTGTAACCTCACCAGAATAGTAACTGCTCTACACCAGTCCACCAACCGAACGAGCTTTTGATTCCTCTCCTTGCGCTCCGCTTCCCTCTCTTGCTCATCCCGCAGCTTTTCCCAGTCCCAGAACTGCCAACTTTCTTTGTGGCGTGTCGTTGAGGAGCGTCGTCGACGCGCTATAATGCTGTCCATTGCGGTGCGAGCAATTACATGCAGCTAATGCGTCGCTTCCAAGATCTTCGGCTTCGCATTCAGGCTAACCACGGAGGGCTGGTACAGGAAAAAGAGGATTTCAGAGGATGGTACAAAGGGTCAAATAGCGAGGGAATTCGTGAAAAGTCTTTATGCCTAGAGCATCAAGCGTGCCGAACGCATGTCTTTGTTTCCAGGGCGGACGAGGTCGGGTCTGAGGAACAAAGCGCTTGACCAGAACCAGAGTGAGCGGAACAAAGCGCCAATATCGCACGCACATCCCATCACTCTCTTTCACGCGTCACTAGGGCCCATCCATGTCTTCGTCGCGTCGATCTCTTCTGTAGCCTTGAGCGCTCCAATAAGTCGCTCGCCACCTTTGCACTGGCTCATGGAGGTGAGCTGAGTTCTTAGCTCCGGCAGTAGCAACCCAGCCTCTTCGAAGATGTTGCGCGGCAGATCATGCAGCTCCCAACCAAGGCGACCGCGCGACAAGAATATAGCGCTTCCACACAAGTCGCGAGTCAACTCTTCGATGTGACGCTGGAGCAGTGGGTCGCTCAGAGATTGGGAAAAGTGGTCTTTACCCAATTCGCACCAACGTGATGTGACTCCGCGTGCAGCGTTCAGATATGTCTGTATCTGTGCAGCGGCATCAGAGAGTGTCATTTGTGGATGAGTGAATAGATCGTCACCCATACGCTGATCAAAGGGCGTGGTGCGAGCATTGCTGATCCTAGGAGCTCGAGGGTGATTCTCGCTCTGAATCATATTCCCAATAATCAGCTTTTCTGCAGGTAAGACGACGCTGCTGCGAGGCGCTTCTGGGAAGCCAAGAGAGATGGCGCTTTGCGAATTGGTCTGCTCCATGGTAGACAGAGCATCGAGCAGTTCAGTAATCTCTGGAAGCTCGACTGCGTCCTTGCGCGTCTTCATTGCATTCTTGGGTGTCGGCTGGGAAGGTACCGGATCTTCAACCATTGGTTCTTGAGCCGCTAGGTCTTGCTTTACTTGCTTGTCGAGCTCGGCGGCCAAAAGCATATGAAACTCGGCGTCCGCATCGTCTTGCTTGGTTTGCGCTCTCGCAGCATCTTTCAGCTGTCGACTTTTCTCCACACGAGCGGCGAACTGCTTAAATTCCCAAATGCGGTTCTTTCTGGTGGCTGCTCGCTCTTCTGCATCGGGCATCGAGTGATCTGGAACTGCAGAACGGGTGGCTTGATTTCCGTCGTCTTCTACAACTGGCTCTTCTTGGGCATCCTGCGTCACAGACTTCTCAATCATAATTGCAGCCGGTGTACGAAGTCTAGTAGATCCGCTGTGCATGGAGCGCTGCTGTGATCCGGCGCCGCTGACAGGAGCCGTGGTATTGGGCTTTGCGAAGGCTTTGCGCTCTGCAGAAACGGCTCTAGCAGTCTGATTCGAATTTGTAGGGCGATCGGGAGCGCTGCTCGTGGATCGAGCAACAATTCCGTCAACTATGGCTTGGATCGCTGCTGCGTCTTTCTTTTTACGTTCAGCATTCCACTGGCGGTCGGTCTTCTGATTCTCGTCGACGTCCATGTCGAGTAGTTTGGTCAGGTAGGCCGCGGTTCGCTGGGTGCTGACCCTGAGTTTGCTGGGTGGTGCTTCTAGAGAGACTCGAGGCTCTGAGTGTTAGGACGACGGAGCTTAATATGTAGGAAGCAAAGTGAACAAAGCTGTATCAATGACCAAGCAAGCATTTCGCAACGACCCAGTGAATGAGCGCGCCAGTGACAGGTAAGAAGCGTTAAGCTAGTGCTCAATCTTACTGGCGTGATCTGTAGGCATGTGGCCCCTTTTCGATTCCTGGTGGTCGCGCTTGGAGACAGATCTTGTGTTGCTGCAGGTTCATAAAACTTGACTTCAGCGTTCGGCCAAGGCGACCTGAGAACCAGCGGAGTGGAATCTGGCGCCATCAAGGCGGATGAAACATCATAGCTTTCTCATTGTTGAGTTGTATGTAAAACGCTCTGCTCAGGCGTAGCGTAGCAAGGGTATCTAATATGTGCGCGATTGATTATACAATTCAGCGCCTCAAGCTCAAAGTTCGCAAGGCTCGTATCCATCATCACGTCGTCGCTATGTATTTTTGCACAGTCACAAAACGCTTCTTTCTCGAATCACTGCCAAAAGCGGCACCAACTCATCAACACATTGGCGGTTCTCGCTCTATGAGAATTGTCGCCAGTCGTGCGGACCTCTTGGCGTCGGTCCAGCTGTAGCGCTGCGCTGCTGCACAGGGTTTGATGGTTGACAAGGACGATGGATGCCTTCATCAGGCGTTGATGAGCCGTAATCGTCCAGCACATCGTTTACCGAGACTCGAGCTGTTTCAACTCTGTGCGGCTCAAGTGGTGCTGTCGCACTTCTTGGCGGTACCTGGCGTACATCACCGAAATAACTGCCTTCTGTAACCGGAGGCCCTGCGGCCAATGTGATGTTGCGGCGCGGTCCTTCCTGCAGTCTCGGGCTCTCTGGTGCTGCCACAGGCGCAAGCACCGAAGGATTGAACGGCAGATAACCACCCGCGCTGGGAGGTGCAGGTGTTTGCGACGGCCCTGGTGTGCGGGAAGGCGCAAATGGTTGAGCTGGCGGGATGCTGTGGTTTGGTTGAGGTATCATCTCGTAGCTATCTTGATGTGCGAGCCGAGGCGGTAATTCACCGCTGCTGTTGGGTGTGTAGGCTCTTGGCAGACTACTTGAAGACCCATGCGGCCCTTGCGGTCGTGGCATAGGTCGGCTGAAAGATTGCTGGCTATGGAGACTACCAAAAGTTCTCTCTGGGCCTGGTCCGGGACGAAATCCGTCTGCAGTATTGGCCCTAATTGGCGCAGTAAACGATCTGCCAAAGCCATCGGTTGGCGGAGCGCTGGCAGCTGATCGCGGCTCTTGATCATAGCTCAAGGGGGTGTTTGATCGCATTGGCGTGGGTCCTCTCGCAACTGGTGGTGGTCGACCGTAGCCAGGCCCTGGACCCATCCCGGTTGGCGTAAAAGGTCTGGCAGACATTGGAGTTTGCATACGCGGAGCAGGCGCGAATTGGGCACGCATCGAGCCGTCCATTATCGACCCTTGGGTGCTTTGCGAAGCAGAGCGCTCATGCCATGGCTGCTGGAAGGATGAATGAGCCGATCCTGGTATCGTAGGAAGTGGCTCACTTTGACCGGGCAAGCCCGCATGTTCCAGAAGAGGCGCGTTGGTGTGATAGCTGGGTGCGTTGGACCAGGTTGAAGTTCCAGTATTGGTCCTCGCCAGACCAGGCCTGCTTTCCATGCCCAGATCTGGCAGGGTTGGCTGCCTCGTCAAACGATCAGCCTGCACTCGGGTAGGAGGTCTGCTCTCGTATGGCGGCAGCGTTGATACACTCATATCCGTCTCTTGTCGTCTAAGAGTGAATTCTGGCAACTTATCATCCTTGCCGGTCTCTGGCGAACCCAGGTTTGGCAATGTTGGCTGCTTCTTGATTCCGATCTGTATCTGCGCCGGCGGTGGCAATTCTCCCGTCTTCGCTGCTTTGCGTTCCGCCTTCTCTTCTGCTTTTCGCCTCTCGCGTTCTTCTTCCTCTATAGCTGCTTGTACTTTGTGCGCCACCACTCTCGCCAAGCGTTTATCGACCTTGCGCCTGCAATAGGTGCTGAGAGATCCATCTTGCTGCGGAATGTAGTGCCACAAAAAGCACAAATAAAGCACGCAAGAGACGATGAGCGATAGTGCGCTGAACACCCAAATGACCAAAGTGAACAACATGGAAAAGTAGATGACAGCCTGTTGGGTGTTCTGGTTGGCGAGCGCTCCAATGTTGATCCAAAATTGGTCGAAGTTGTTGTGGTCGGTCTGGTCTTTGCCCGGGATGAGATCGGCCTGCAGAACGGCGTAGAGGGTCATGGCATTGACACCTTGACGAGGGCCTTCGCAAATGATGACGCGAAGGGCGGTTTTGAAGGAAAAGTATACAAAGAGGGCTACGTAGTCGGCACCCTTCCGACTCTTGGTGAGTGCAGTGAAGACCAGAAAGCGTTTGAAGCCTCGAGGCCTCATACTTTGGATGTCGACTGCTAGTGGATCCAAGAAGCTTTGAGCGACACCTCCGCGGCGGATGACGCGGATGGCTCGTATCCATTCGTAGATACACAATGCCCAGGAGAGTAAGATACAGACGGAGAAGATCCATTTGCTGTACTTCAAGTCGAGTGCCGGTTTGACGCTCGAGCTCCATTGGTCAAAGGCGAGCAAGTTGACTGCAGTGAAGGTGTCGACGACGTAGACTGCGATACCGACGAGTGCCAATACCCACAACCAGATGTATGCGACGACGGTCCAGGCCGAGGTGCACCGAAAATCGGACAGTGTGATGAAGTCCCATTTCTGCGATTCCTCCTTCGGTCCCTTCTCTCGGTCGCTGAGGCAGCCCATGTTGGGCCGATGATGTATGTATGGTGGGAAAGTGTTCGTATGTCGTCCGCTCTGCCGGCAGAGCGGTCAGTGGTGACTTGAATAGTGCAGATGGGCGTGCACAGTGAATGATTGACGATTGACTGCGGCTTCAATTTGGAAGGTCTGACCGGCAGACGCTTCTCGAGATGTAATGGTGAAGGCGTTGCAAGGTAGAGAGTGTGGCGTAATGAGCGTGGTTTTGTCGAATTCAGATGTTCGTGCGGCTGGTTGGAATGTGGGCTTGCGACGTGATCTGGCCGGGCTCGTTGTCTCGCGGCGACAATGAAGGAGGGACAAAGGCGGCGACAATGAGTGAAGGTCAGCGGCGGGCGGTGCTTTGAAGGCCTCTATGGCATGGCAAAGAAGCAGGAGGTCGCACAAAGACGCTGCAGTGCACTTCACCTGTACGACAAGACAATGCACGCCAACGCGCCTATTGTCGCGTTCGGAGCATTGCTTGGGTGAAGCACTTGCGGTTGCGGTTGCGATGGTCGGTCGCGCGCGGCAAGGCCCATGCCATGCCCGTTGCACTCAGAAGCGTGCGCGCTGCAGTGAAGGAAGGAGCGGTTCTTGTATGTTTCACAGTTTCACCCTTTCACGCCAGGTTCCTGACTAGTGCGCGAACGTTTCGCCCATGCATTTCCTGCTCGCCAATCAATGCCTGCCCGCCGCTGACGCCAAGCATTCTTCTTGCGCGCAGCGGCGCAGAAGACGTGGGCGGCACGGCACGGCACGGCACGCTCGGCAAACGACTGCACTCTCATTTCATCTCGCATCTCACATCTCACATCTCCCATCTCCCGTCTGCGCGCAATCAACCACATGCAAATGCTGTAGTGTAGTCACCACCACGCAGGTCTGCCAGGCACATGCTTGACACCAGTCGTCTGAGCTTCGAGCCGTGACGTCTACCGAGTGTCAGATTGCGAGATCGACAGACGCCGCCACGCCGCGAGCTAGCTGACCCATGACTTAAGACACTGGGCCTAAGTAGTGGCATCGATAAAATTTGGGGAGAACGTCACATGCGACTGCATTGTCGGGGTGCAAGAAAAATGTCTACACAAAGCGCTCCCATACTATCCACTCCGGCCGAGCATATCTTGAATGAATCAACTCCTGCCACAATACAAGCCAGCCACGAAAGACTTTCAGAAGAACGGCTTTACGTGCAGTACGAGATAAAGCGGACCATCTCAGAAATTCGACATGGCAATTGGAAGAGAATCGCCTTGCAATTTCCCGATGACATGCTCGTTGATGCCCCCAGAGTCTTCGACCGAATCAAGGACGGCTTAGCCAGAGCCAGAGCGGAGACGAAGGGGACGAAGAAACTTGATCAGCAGGCGACTGTCGAGCACTTGTCTGTCAAAGTACACGGCGCCACATTGGAAGACGAGAATACCTCAATCGGCATCGAAGAAGAAGAAGTCGACGAGAGGCTATGTATCTTGGCCGACACCTCTTACGGAGCCTGTTGTGTGGATGAAGTGGCCGCCGAACACGTTGATGCTGACGTCGTTGTCCATTATGGCCGCTCATGTTTGTCGCCGACCGCGCGTTTACCTGTCATATACGTCTATACGGCGAATCCCCTCGACCTCAATGCTGTGTTATCAAGCTTCCGAAATACCTACCCGGCCAAGGACGAGAAAATCGTGCTCATGGCTGATATCCCTTATAGTCACCACCTCCCGTCCTTGCACGCAAGCTTGACACACGAAGGCTACAGCAATGTCTTCAAGACAGACATCGTTCGAGACCCGTCCTCATTGCTTCCGAACAGGACAATACCGTCCGAAGTGCACACCGATCCAGCCTTACTGAAAGATTATTCCATCTTTCACGTCTCCACCCCACCGACTACACTATTGCTCATCCTCTCCTCTCGAATCAAGGCCATGCACATCTTCTCGCCTGAGTCAGGGAGCTCTGCAGAAGCAATTGCATATCAAATGCTGCGACGGCGCTACGCCCTCACCACTCGCCTTGCAAGCGTGTCCATCTTTGGTATCCTCATCAATACCTTGTCAGTCTCCAACTACATGGAAGCACTTCAGCATTGCCAGGATTTAATCGCCAAAGCCGGGAAAAAAGCGTACGTCTTCGTGGTAGGCAAAGTCAATGCTGCGAAAATCGCAAACTTCAGTGAGATAGGTGGCTGGATCGTTATCGGGTGCTGGGAGAGTAGTCTGATCGAGAGCAAAGAATTCTATCGACCCATCATAACTCCTTTCGAGCTCGAGCTTGCTCTGATGGGCGATGAAAACCGCACTTGGAATGGCGAATGGATTGGAGACTTTTCTCAACTTTTGAACAAGCACAAAAAGGTGCAGGAAATCCGCAACGCCGTGATCAACGGCGATAAGACCGGCGAGTCTATGGAAGAGGTTGCTTCGGCCACAGGTGACTGGGACGAGATGCCATCTGACGACGAGCCGCCTGAGTTTGATTTTCGCACGGGACGATATGTCAGCCACAGCCGACCAATGGGTCGACTCAACAAGCGCCCGGCTGCTGTGGGTGCTCAAAGTAATGGATCATCACAGCAAGCGCCACCCAGCTCGGCGCTGGTACAAAGAGCAAAAGGAGATCTTGCGGCAATTAACGGTCAAGTATCGCCGGCTGCCGAGTTTCTGCGATCAAAGCGTACGTGGAAAGGTCTTGGTAGCGACTTTGAGATTGCCTACGAGAGAGACGATGACGGCAAGATTCGAGGAGCAGCGATGGAGGAGGGAAGAAGTGGAGTTGCAAAGGCTTACAGTGTTGGTGAAGACAGCACAAAAGCATAGCATAGCACTATCAAACGATCGAGGAGATCACCAAAGAATGGTGGGACTCGACCCTCTGCGCCATTCGAACGATGCTTTGCTGGCCAATGACTTTGGTCTTTTCAGAATATTGCCCTTCCAAGATCTCCAATCTCGATGCCATGAGTCTTCTCAGATCTCTTTCGATGGACAGAGCAAATTATATCCAACTGCTCAGCGTCAATCAATGCGTGATAGCCATCAGGAACGCGACTTCTTAGATTCAGTCATGTACGGCCTCAGCCAGTCCTTTCTATGAAGAGAGTTGCTGAGTGCCGTTGAGGTTCTTAATTCGTGCGTCGACATCAGCAAAGATGGTCGAATTGGACAGTAGCTGCGCGCAGACTGGTGTGCACATGCTAGAATCAGTGCGCAGCATTCGATATGGAGGGCATCAATATTTCCGGTCTATGCTGTTCGTTGATACCGCAATCGCTGGACTGATTTGAGTCCTTTGCCGTTGGCTGATTGACGCTACACCCCTCTTCTACAGAGGGCGAGCTTCGCTCAATGAAGTCAATCGTCCTCGAGACCTGGGATGAGTCCGTTGTCGAGGCGGACTGACGAGCTCGCAGATGTTTAAGAGCATGCGTGATGCTTCGACAATACCAACAATGACGCTTGGTCGTACTCGGTGACCAACGAACATGTCTCCATCTCTCGCCCGCTTGATATACCACACAGTCATAAACTTGTATCATAGCTTGCTTTTCCCACCTCGAAGAACCTCTTCCCCCTCCACCTCCTTCTTAATGGCTTCCCTCAACCTCCTTGCCATTTCCTTGCCCTCATCATCATCCAGATCCTCCCTACTCCCACGTCCAAACATTTTCCAACTCTTCAAGGCACCCCAATCCGACCTTCCGTTCCTCTGCGTCTCTTCCCTCCCTTCTTGGTATCTTGGTATCAGATGGAAGTGTATATGCGGCACCACTTGCGCCGCTCTTTCGCCATTGTTTTGTACAACATTCCAATCCTCAATACCCGTCACACTGCACAAAGCCCTGCTTACAATGGGAAGCCATTCTCCCAATGCTCGCGCCGCATCTCTTGCCTCAGAAGCTTCACGTTTCGCATTCCAGGTTGCGGAACTTGGCGTCCTGGATTGTAGATCGCTCAGTTTCGTGTAGTGTTTGCGCGTCGTGAGGAGGATGTGGCCTGGCGCTATGGGCATTATATCCAGGAAGGCAAGAACCAAAGGGGTAGAGAGGATGAGATGGCATTGTGGCTCGATCTTTTCCGGTTCTGGATTTGATGGGACGTCGGAGTTCGGTGAGGCAGGGTAAGTCTTTGAGATATTACAGAATGCGCAGGGGATCGGGTAGAGATCGTCTATTGTTGACATTTCGAGGAGGGTGATGGAGAAACAGCAAGATCAATGTGCCGTCGCGTGAAAGACATGTTTTATGTGAGGTCATTAGTTGCTATTCATCGCCTTAGGCGCTGCTCGCCAATAGGTCCTCCGTACTACTTTGTTTGGGCCGAGGCTCTGGCTTTTGGGCAGGGTTCGGGGATGTCAGCGACCAGGCAAGACAGACCAACAGACCTGCACGACACCTTTATTAAGACTGACTTGAAAACTGCTAAACGAGCTGCTTTATTATTGCTAAAGCCACCTGCTGACATGATCGAGGGGTTTGGGGTGCTAGACTGGGATGAAGGAAGGAGTTGGCTGTATTAGATAACGAAGAATCAGGGGCGATACAAGAGGCAACGACTTGCAGCGCCTCAGTTCTACCAGTGTCAGAACCTTACGCAAGACCCAGACGAGATGTTGTAAAAGATTGTATCGAGACCAACTAATATTCGTTTCATGTATATACCCTCCTTCAGAAGCGCCACCGACGCCGTAAAAGGCAGCAGCAGAACTCTAGTAGTTATGGTATTCTAATCGCTTTCATCTCAAATCATGGCTCATGCAGTCATCTTCTCTGCAAGCCTTTACTCAAGGCTCGTCAATCGTCTCTCGTAGTAACGTAAATCATGCTCGCTGAAATGCGCTTCGTCATTCGCGTTGGTAGTTGGTCTCGGATGTCGAGTTCTTCGACAGTGGCATAAGGTGCGGGTGTCTTCGTATCTCAGCCCATACTAGCTAAGATCTAGCTGCGGGTGCGCGTTAGTTGGTTCCTTGAATCATCTCAATCTCATGCAGACGAAAGTACTCACACATCACGGCAGCTCAGGGTGAGTGAGTTGAACTTGTTCCACGCAACAACGGCAAGCGGCTGGCAAGTAGCAGACGTAACGACGCAGTTGCTGGTTTCACCCGTGACGCAATCGAAGGCGCCAGAAGTGAAGCAGTAGGTGCACTCAGTGCCTGTTTTGTGTTAGCTAGGCTCTATCTCGGACTGTACGATCGATAAGGATATCGCTCACCCTCTGGGGTTGAGATGGCAACCTCGTGACCCGCAGCGAACTGGACAAGCCAGACGGCGAAGGTGTCCACCGTAGTTGGTGTACTATCACCGCAGAGCAGGCCACCGGCGCTGGCGTAAGACAGGTAGCAGTCGACGTCGCTACTGGTGTTGTTGCCCACGTTGATGCTGATAATAAAACAGATGATCAGCAAGCATATTGCAAATTGGGATGCCTCGCGCGCATTGTTTCCTTACCATGGGCTTTGACCAGAGCCACTGTACGTGAAGTAGCCGCCCTTCGCTCCGTCGTAGCCACAGTCGAGGTTGTTGTAGATGGTAGCCTGCCAGGCTGCGGTTGGCTTAATGAGAGCGAGAGCAGCCGTAGCGGCGAAAGCGAGAGCCTTCGCAGACAGCATTGCGGCGGATGTGACTCGTAGGAGTTTGGTGTGAACGAAAGGTTTCGAGGGTTGTTGATCAATGGAGCAATGTAGCTTCCGCGTGTTCGAGGATGGCTACTATCTCAACGTCTGGTGTGCCGGGGTGTTGAAAGGTCGAATTATTAGGTTGGAAAGCGAGTTCTTAAGTAGTTCAGCGTGGGTCTCGAAACGGCGCTAGTGATTAGAGTTTGTCACATGCGTCAAAGCGCCTTGCAAGTTAGGACGTCCCTCACTTTCACTCTCTCACATGCAGTTGAAGCTGAAGGGTGTTCTCAGACTATAACATGTGGAAGGCCTCTTTCGCATTATGTCCTGGTCGCATCGCACCTCCTGTCAAACGTCATGCTAATGTTCGCAGATTCGTTGACAAGGTTGAGTACGTAGCCTGAAATGCCAGAAGGGCAATTAGTATCCTTAGACCGTATCTTCACCGAACGAAAGTGTTGACTTCAATTGTCCGTCTTTGCTAGTACTGCCGCGCAGCCGTATGGATTTTGGTGGAGTCTTGCTTGAGATATATGCCGCTTGCTTGCATCGGCAATGAGACTCGACCACTCGTCGCTAGCTGGCCTCGAGCATTTGCTAATGCTGTATGCCGCTTCGTTAGCTTAGACAGCAAGCATGAGGGTTTTGGTACGAGCAGAATAATACTTCAATCTCTCGTCATATAGTTCCAATGATCCTCCGTCACCCGAACATCGAGCGATGGCCGGCTTGCTGCAAATATGCTCCGCTCAATAATTTTCCTAGATTGGTACTAAGACATCGGTAATCTACTCCATTTGCGTCTCTAGATCTCTATACGATGAGCTTGCAAAAGATATCGCTCCTAAGGATCCGTACTGGCAGCAGGAGGATGCGTGGAATCGCGACCTGAGCGAGTCCGGAAAGACAGTCTATGCTCGACATACTCGCATAGGGAATTCGTCCAAAGCAGTCAGCGGATCAATACTGCTTCTCAGCCAGCATTGGTATCGTGCAAGCTCGACGAACTCAGGTAGCATTAATATCGACCAGTTCCATGAAGAGTCCTCAGAGCAGAAAGTTGGAGAGGAGATAGCCGGAGAACTGAGAGCTGTTATGCTCCGCTCGATGAAAGCCATCAATTTTCATCAAATCAATCCTGATCTAGATCCTTGGACGAGCTACATGTATGCGGAAGAATTCCACTTGAACCTGTCGACCGGAATTCGAGGATGAGTCAGCAGCTAGGCAGACATGCTGAAGGAGTTCGCGACGTTTACGGCGAGGTACAAAAACTTCAAAATTTGGATTTCGAACATTTCTGTCAATGTTTATGCGAAATACGACAAAGCAGAGCTTTATCTCGATTCGGCATCAACCGGCGGCCCTGGCGTCCCTTTGGAAATGGAGAGGTCGAGCGTATCGGTCTTTCTTTGAGAAAACAAAGGTCGATGGTAAATGGTGGCTGGTAAGGGAGGTGACATTGACCGTAATGGAGCATGGCTAAGCTCGGACGGAGACATGAGCTTCAAGTTTAATGAACTTCCAGAGAACCCCATGCTCCTTCCACAGGTCATCCAAGATCGGAGGGAGTTCCAGACAATTAGCTGGTTCCAAGCTGCGAGTACGGCTGCCCAGAGGTTCAGGAAGCATCGTGCGATCAGATTCGAGCCTTGCAATGCGCAATATTAAAGACAAGGCACATTCTGCAACTCTGAGAATCGCAAAGGCCTCTACAGCGGTCTATCGCCAGACTTCAATCTCAATGTCGATCTTGCCTTTCGACACATTGCAAGACCAGGAGCTGAATCTCGCCATAGGGATCAGGGACAAACGATCGCCGTTGCGCAATGTGCTCAGCCATGCGCTCAGATCGTGATCGGTCTCAGAAAGCTCCTCGTCCATGTGGTGAGTGGTATTGTGATGTTGCCACTTCATGTTGCCTATCATGTTCCACTTCCAGCCTTTTCGTTCCTGCTGTCCGCTGTCTGCTTGCGTCTTGCCTAGCTCAAACCAGCTCCACGCTCCGCCGTCTCGGTTGCCAACCCAGCCTTGATCTCGACCGATAGCCTCGATCTGTATGCTGCGTATTCGACCATTGAAGCTCTGAAGACTGCCGTCGTCGTTCAGGACATCAAAATCTCCCAACCACATAAGTGCATCAGTTTCAATGTACGGCTCTGGGAGGGTGGTTGGGCCGCTACTATGTCTGCTGCTTTGCTTGGTCGATGTGACTGCAAAATGCACGCAATCGTAGTCTGCATGGAACAAGATGGGCTTGAGCAGCTCGTCGGTCAACCGGCCGGCAGAGGCCTGTCGCAGTGTGTCCAGGACTGCAGAGACATCTTGTGGCGTTCGTGGGAAATGTGGCTCGAGGGAAGGCTCAGTGGATTCTGCACTCTGTTCAGAGGCTTGCAATGGAGGAGCTGGTCGTCGCAAGTGTGGTCTGTTCGGGCCGCGTCGCAGGTGAGGAGGAAGCATGTTGACTGGACCTACAGGAAGAAATACAATCTGCAGTGCGCGCAGTGAGATGTCGCCTATGCAGTCCTGCAGCACGCGGTATGAGGCGGGAAATGTCTGGATAATGGCGTCGAAGAGCATGAGGCGACCACGAGTCTCCCGTTCTGTAGCGACGATGCAGTGGAACCGGAACCGGCTCCGCTTGAAACAGCAACAATAACTGGGAAGTGTTGTGGACCACTGTCGCGTTCCACGACTGGCAGCTTGCAATGTATTTGTTTTGATTACTAATCGTATATATATCTCGATCACCGAGGCTTCTAGCTAGCAAACCTCGATAGCTAAAGGCTCTTAGATTCTATAATTTTAATTTTTAGGCCTAAGCATCTTTATATTATATATAATATAGCTATTTATAAGGTTCTAAGAATACGTTACTAATTCTAGAGAATATTATAATTAGTACTATTTTGTTAGTAGCTAGTCCCTCGATAAATTATATAGTTTAAAGTATATAATACTAAATTACTAACTTCTAAATAGGAATAGGTCGATTAGTAGGTTAATTAGTAAGTCGATTAATAGTTCGATTAATAGTTCGATTAATAGTTCGACTAATAGTTCGATTAATAGTTTAACTAATAGTTTAATTAGTAGTTCGACTAGTAGTTCGATTACTAGTAATAGTTTAATTTAAAATTTAATTAGTAGTTTAATTAATAGTTTAGTTAATAGTTTAACTAACAGTTTAATTAGTAGTTTAATTAAGGATCAGCATCGTTCCTGCCCAATAAATTGATCGCGACTTTCACGAACGATGGTCAAGTCAGTCAGCTTGCTGCTGCTATTGGCATTTTCGATGATGACCAGCACCTATCTGCGACAAGCATTTCAAAGAACAGGACTTTCCCCGGTCAAGCAATTTTGTCACCATGCGAGGCACAGTCTGAATTGCGGCCCTTCTGCCGAGAAGAGTGGGACATTCATACGATTGAAGCTGAATGAGGCAGTGTACCCAGTTGCGCATTGTCAAAAGGGACCAGGTCGAAGCTGTGCACTGCAAGATTACCAAATGCTGATAGCTCAGAAGAGTGCTGCCTTTGGCGACTTCAGGGTTGCTTGCGGCATTGGCAATACTAGCGTGGTTGCAATTGAAGATGTAACAACTTCTTTTCTGACTGACCTGAACCTTCCCTTCGAGACAATGGTTAGGCCTTTAGTGTAGACTACCCCGTTTGCGGTCTGTCTTTGGGCCTTCTTGTGCTTATCTTAATGACCGCACACTGCATGCATGATTGAGGCAAAATCGTGGTTGGCAACATCGCTCCAATGCCATTCACACTCAAACACTTCGTTTCGTTCCGTATAGCATTTCTCTCGTGATTATGAAGTCATTCACCATATGCGTTTGGCGACCATGGTGTACCGGTCCACGTTGTCTAGCTTCATCTCGCCTTTCTCAGCCTTTTGCCGACCTCTGGCCTCCTTCTCCCTCAAATTACTTAAAGCATCCGGGTCGTCTTCATAAATCCAACGACGCTTGTCCTCATTTACCTCAACAGTCCCCCAGCCTCCAACTCGGCGACCCTGATTATCAACACTCTGCCTTTCACGTTCCTTCATATCTTTGTAGATGTTACGTGCATATGACAGAAGTCCCATGCCGAGTAAAAGCTTGAAAGCCAAAAGTATCAGATATGAGGCTAGGAAGAAGATGAGCATGGTAGCAAGTGCGATGGAATCGTCAAAGGTCCACCATCCGAATGAGCCGTTTGAGTCATTACCAGCACCAAAGGAAGATCTGCCGAGAGCACGGCGCAAGACTTGGTCGAAGTGAGCGAATGCCGCCATAGTCGCGGATGAGGACGCCGCTTCCGAGTCTACAGATATAGAGGTTGCGGCCGAAGGTATCGGAGGAGGCATGTGGATGGCTAAGAACATATGATATGTCTGTACGACTGCCCGGATGAACAGGCAGCTGAGCGGTATCACAGGCAAGCCGAGTCTCTTGGTTAGATTCTGGTCAGCGAATGCATGAGAGTAGTAGTCTTTCGCCATGACGTCCAAGAAGCGACCGTATATTTTTGGCTTGACGTTGTTGAACTTGGTGATGTATGCGTGCTTGCACCAGTCGACCAGAGCTTCACTACCCAGCACGATCAAGAAAGGGCCCAAAACCTCCCCAGTCCATTTCGGAAGCAGTGTAAAGGCTTTCGGTATGACAAAGCCTGATACCGAAGGAACGCCGGTACTGTTACCCCCCATGCTTTCGATTGGTGCAGTAGTATCGACGAAAGCACTAGTAAGACTAATGCTTAGGCCACCAACCTCGACGATGTTGCGCAAGGCAATGATCAACAGCATGAGTAGAAGCTGGAAGCGCTCTACCACATCAGCGCAGGTCATTTGGAACAGGTTCTCTTTCTCAAACTTCTTGAACACGGCACTCTTGATCTCCACGAACTGATTGCTCATAAGGAGAGTCAAGAGAGCGTTTGAGTAAGAGTTGACTGCGACGTTCAAGGTCACGACCTGGTAGAAAAGTACAGTGGAGTGACCAATCGTGTACACAAGTGCGAGAAGGAACATGCCGAGTGGTCGCTTGACTTTGCTGCGTCCATCAGTGTCGCGCTCCAGGGTCTCTTTTGAAAAGAGGCATTCCAAAATATCCTGGCCCAGAGCTGAAAGCAGACGATCGAAAACCTCCAGCACGTTATAGATGACGTAGAGCTTCATAGCTGACTGGCCTCTAATGGAATGGTACATACGGCTAGCATCGAACGACATCAAGACAACGCATGCTGCACCAATGAGGAGGCCTTGCAATAAATCGGCTTTGTGATTCGGAAGCAGCACGGACGGCGTCGATCGGACACGTCGATGTCTGAAAGCAGAAGAAGGCTTCCTCTGCTTCCTTGCCGGCGAAGGAGGCACCGTATGCCAATTGCCTTTCTCGGAAGTGGCGGATGCCGACTCGGTAGCACGCCGTTTGGGCTGTTCTCCTTCCGATGCGGATGTTCGTCGACTGCTTGGTACGGAGCTCGGAATTGACACTGGAGCTGGAGGCTGCTGATACTGTCGGCGACGCCATAGTCGACCTAGGCCATTGTATACGAAGGAACCAAGATCCGTTGACTCTCTAGTTGCGTTGCGGCCAAACCATTGTGCAAAGATGACGACAGCCTTTAGAAAACGGAGGGGCAGGATGGTGAAAGTATAGAGCCAGGCATCCAAACACGCCAAAGTTCCGAACATGAGAGTATGCTCCAAGTGGAATGGGAGCAGTAAGAAGTTCTTCAGGCGCTCAAACTTTACAGCGGACGGTTCGTATGGGATATCATTTGCAGGCGACCGATGAATGTAGAGTGCAGATGGTCGGTCAGACGACAGTTCAAGTTGCAGATATGTCGGCAGAGAGGATGGCGGAATTGGCAACACTGGTGGCATTGGCGAAGGCTCTAGGCCATAGCTGGGAGAGAGCTTTATGGCACCATTTTGCTTGTTACCGGCCTCATCAGTCCGGAGAGGCGCGAGTGTAAGCTTAGACCTCGATGCCTTCGAAGAAGACTGTTTCCAATGGGCAGGTGGAGGAGGCGTTGTGGCTCGCGCATGAGCAGCTGACCTGTGATGGCCACCAGCAGTTGCAGCGATGCTCGGAAGGCCATTCACTGGAAGCAACTTATCAGGCTGGGATGACCAGCCGACATCATCGGCATCATGCCATTCGTCATCTGCGTCCTGATCGTCCAAGGCGGGCAAAGGCTCGACAAGAGACCGAAGGGGGAGCGAGTCCGGAGAAGTAGTGAGATCACGAATTTGAGCAGGACTGAGTTTTAGCGTCCTTGCCTCGCTGCTCTTGCGGCGGTCTCTGCTGGGATTCGGTTCGAGGCGTCGCACATCGCGTTGGCCATCCAAGGCATCGAAGACTTCTGGGAAAGGCTCGCGGCTGTTTTGATGGCCATGCTCGCTGATGGGCGATAGCGTTGGAGAAGGAGTTGGAAGCTGATGCTTATTCGTGCCAGGTGGCCGTCTCTCGCCATCAGCGGGGCTTGTGGGAGGATAGCTCATTGCGCATTCTGGGATGTAGGCTCATAATGAGCTTCTAACGGCGATGTCAGTGAAATGCTTGAGGGACTTTCAAAATACCTACTACTGTAAGGCCACACACTGACACGACCAATCAATGCCGCGCTAAAAAGATCTGCCCGAACAAGCGAGAGTTCAAGGGTCCGAGACGTCCCTCACATCTTTCCGCTACTTTTTCCACCACTCTTCACAATCGCACATTCTACATCGCGGAAGCTGCTTCGGCATGGCTGAGGAAAATATCTACGATGAGATCGAGATCGAGGTACGTCATACTCTGCGGACTGCTGGCCGCACATTCTCTAACTTCCCGCAGGACATGACCTTCGACGAGACAACTCAACTCTACCACTACCCATGTCCGTGTGGCGATCGCTTCGAAATCAACGTCGACGACCTACGTGATGGCGAAGAGATTGCAGTCTGTCCGAGCTGCAGCCTGCAGATAAGAGTCATTTTCGATGTGGACGACTTGCCGAAGCCGAAAGAGCCTGAGCCGCCGAAACCACCGCAGCCTGCACAGCAGCCACTGGTCGCAGCGGCGTGAAGATCACCAGCGTATACACTCAAATGCTTCCACCCGACCTCTGAGCCAAGTTGCAGCACTCGAACCCGTAACAACAAGCTGCGTGCTCACATACAAGCTAAGAGTCGCACACGTTCGAGTAGGTTGGTACGGGTAGATCTCGACTGGTGGCTGGAGAACCCGTAATGCGCATTGGTTATCCACTTCGGATCGAGATATCCACACGCAGCTCGGCAACAAAGGCTATGAGCTCAGACGCTCTATCTACGTGCAGGGACACGTCCAGCCACCGCCAGCATCGAGAGCTGGGAATCAGGACCGCGGCCATGAAGATTTTGGCTGATGTGGGAGTTGGGAGAAGATCGCTGCCGAATGTATACAAACAGAGCTGTTCTGTATGGTCTGGGACATCTATCCATGCTCCCAGAGCAGAGACATCGACAGAGCATTGAGCACGTTTGACTTCTAGTTCGCCATAGCACTTACTGCACCCCCTCGAGCCATGCTTGAAAGAGAGCCGACCAGCGACTCTTCTGCTATGAAAGCTAGCTGGAGTAGTGTTTCGTACTGCTACAATTGAAGTAGTCCAAAGCGGTGTGAATAATCCTGCAATCATCCGACCCGTGGCTGAAGTGGAACTGTATGCCTCTCGCTCCCTCTCGCTCGGTGCAGTCATTTTTCCAAGAATTTATTCAGTGGGATCTTTGCTGACTTCGAGCTCTTCCTCGTGATGATCCATCGATATTCCCAACTCCTTACTCAGCAGTGCGCTGAGCCTCGTCCCATCACGCAGATACACCCACTCCCCAGTGCCGCCTCCCTCTTTCTGGTGCATACTCTCCCCTGATATCACCCAGTCATATCGCTTCGGACCTGAGATTGGAGACGAAAGCCATATCTGCTTGTTCGGTGGTTGCTTATTGATTACGTACGTGCCATTGGGTGGAAAGACTATGTTGAGGACGCCCGCCTAAGACTGTGTCAGTGGTCTTTCATCTGAGGGTCCGAACACGCTGCCCCCGGCGATCGGAGAATGACAATAGTGTGCAGAAGGGGTGACCTCGTTGTCGATTTTGGATGTAGACACTTACAGCATATTCCACCTCGACGTCCTCTCGGCCTTCCTGCAGTTGTTCCGCTCTCTCACGCACAGCGTCCATATATTCATCTGCCAGCTCATGATATTGATCGTCGCTAAGCTCAGCTGGTTGCTGCGCAACGTGCTCTGGCGGAGCTTGCTTGGGTGGCTGAGGGTCTTCGGTATCTGGCATCAAGCCCGCACGAGCTCTGCTGTGTATTGAGAATCGGCGGGATCGCGAAGTGAAAGCTGCCCGAAGGACAGATTGTTGCCATTGATACGATTGAGCTTGCATTCGACATGGCTGTTGAAACGTTCTTGATGCCGCGCGGATAGAGCTGCGGAAGAGGAGACGGCTGGCTGCTGGAGCGGACATAATGGCGACGATGAGTGTGAGGGCACACTGGGATATGGACTGTGCTAGATGAGCCCACGGGAACGGCTTGTAGTGGTCACTTAGATGTTTGTATGGACTCCGTAGAGAATGATGACTACGGGCAACGGGCGTGTTCCTGTTTGCGGAGGAGCTTGAGCTTGCTTCGAGGTTGAAGCTTCTTTCCCCGCTGGCACTCAGACACGAATACCACCTCCACCTCCTCCAGCAAACATCCCAGCCTCAGGTCATGTGCAACCTCATTCGTGAGCACGTGCTGGGAGAAACAGCAGGCTTCCTGAAATGCTGTTGAGCAGCGGCAGCTTCACATGCAAGGGACACAATCAGTGCAATAGAACATCATAGAGTTGAATCCTGAGGCATGTGCCTATAGGTCCGTGCACACACGCGGCACCCTATTTAGCGACTTCTCGTTTCTTCCGTAGACATACCATCGAACACACACACTTCAAGTCATAGTTTCAGGAAAGTCAGGACGCATCAGGACCACAGAAACGATGGCAATGGCAATGACAATCACATCGATTTTCGTATCTGCTTATCGGCATGAGCGTTCAGAAGAGCTCTACCTCAAACTTTGCGCTCAGCGTGCACACTCTCAGCCTGCTCAACCTGCTCCACGACGGCCTTTTCTTGGCCAGTGCTCTCGACAAATCCGCCGAGGCCTGCCGTGAGCTCCTTGCCCTTCCTTCCGATAAGATACCATGGAAGATTGAACACAGCATCAATAGATTCGAGCGACTTGCCTGCGAGTTCGGGCAAGAAAAACCAACTCCACGCAAGACCAAGCAATGTCACGATGGCAAAGAACATCATGGTACCGCCGTATGTCATCGACAGGAACATCTCAGGGACAGCCTTGCTGTTGCCATACTGTGCCTAATGTCAGCAGCCATCTCAAATGCAAGTTACGATCTAGACCTGCGAGACTCACCTGGTTCACGAAGTGAAAGGTCATGGCGAACGAGCCCTAACTCAAAGGTCAGCAGATGTCTCAGACATTGAGGTTCTCTCAAGGTACTGCTACTTACCCCTATAGCTCGAAGTCGAAGAGGGTAAATTTCCGAGTTAATCAGGTATTGGATGCTGTTCCAGCCCATCGCCCAGCCGAAGCCAGAAAGATAGATCATAACGATTGCTCCAGTGGCAGCACGCTTCTCGCTGCCGCTTTGTCCATCAACGTCGTCGACGTCTGTATCCGCAAGGAGGAATCCAGCCATGTACAGCATTGCGATAAATTGCAAAGTAATACCGATCATCAACGATCTCTTGCGGCCAACGAAATCAATCAAGAAGATCGCACAAAGCAATGATGATACGAACTTGACGATGCCGAAGATGGCTGTCGCGAAGAGCTTCTCGTTCTGACCTGTCTGTCCCACCATCGCAAAATATTCCGGAGCGTAGATTGTGATAGAGTTGGCGCCACTCCATTGTCCCAGAAGCTGGCTCATGACGGAGAGCATAAGCCGATATCGATTTGCGGAAGATCCGATCAGTTCTCTGATAACGCCGTACCATTTCGTGCCATGGGTTGCTTCGCGCTCGCGCTCGAGTTGACCATTGATGTCAAGCAGCTCTGATTGGACGTACCAATGTTCAATTGGCAGATTCCGGAGAGTCGACAAGTTCGTGGCTGCCTTTTCCTGTTTGCCAACCTTGCACAGCCAACGTGGAGATTCAATCGCGAAGAAAGAAGTCACAAAGATGATAGCCGCAAAGTAGACATGTAACAGGTTGGGAATCACCCATTGCATCTGAGTGTCCGCGCTGATGTGCAACTGAGAGCCCCAGATAGAGAAGTATCCAAGCATGATACCAAGATATACGGATCCAGAGAACATGCAGACAGAGAACCCACGAGTAAACTTTGGCGAGATCTCAGCGAGGTATGAGGGCGCAACGACTGTCGTTTGACCAATGCCCAGTCCGGCGATAAAGCGTCCCGCGTACACCATTCCGAGATGGCCATTTGACGCCGCTCCCAAGTATATGGCGATACCAAAAAGCCATAGCACGCACAATTGCCTTGTCGCCCAGAGACGTCCAATCTTGTCTGTGATGTAAAAAGCAAACAGAGCACCGCCAACAGATCCGAGTTGGACCATAGACGTAATGTTTGAAAGCCGATCTGCTTGCTCGGCGGCAGTTAGACGCGGGTCTTTGAGTCCAAAGGTCTTCTTGAAGCTGGCTAAGGAAGCTGTTGTTCCTACGAGACCCTCATCAACACCACGGGCGGCACCCATCAATCCAAATACTGCATGTTGTTGTCAGCATCAATTCCGACATGCTTAAGTGATAGTCTTACCAAAAACGCCATACCACAGTCTCCAATTCAGAATCTCCTTTGGAGCAGTGTCATCTCTTTTACTAAACAACATCTTGACTACTCAAGTGTGAACAAGCTCAGACAAGACAAGCTTGGGTGGCGACAAGAAGTCTTGAGAAGGTGAGAGAGAGAGGGACACCAAGCCAACGCCGCTGGGCTCAGGGTTACCTAGGTGGAATGGCTACATCTTATAATAAGTATTTCTACCACTTCCCTAGCAGGTCTTGGACGATGCAACCGCGGACAAAGACGGCGCCTGTGCAGCGTGGAAATCTCCAGTGTCCATGCGCAAGGCCACATTGCGCTGCGTGGTACATGTGGAGCACTGCGGGCGGTGTGGATGCAAGGAACACAAATGACCCCTGTAAAAACTCGTCCGCTCGGAGCGTTCGTCGGCAAAACTAGGATGTGATCTGATTGCACGGAACGATCAGATTTAAGCCGTGCGCTGCATTTAACAGCAATTCTTGCTCCACTTCAGTTCGTCGGACTTAACCTAGGACTTCGTTATCCGGGGTTTCGTCAGTCACACTTCACCCCGCGAAGGGGATGCTAAGAAATTGGGGTTACCGCTAAGCGGATGGCAAGCATCCCAAGACACTGACGATGCAACTTCAGCAGGTGCAGATTTGCGGATGTTGAATTCTCGAATGTTGAAGCTGTCTCACAAATCGTGGGCATTGCCGTCAGCATAAGTCCGCCGTGTTGCAGGAAGGCAGGACATCAGGAGCGCGGGTGCTCCGCTAACACTTGGAGGACTTCGAGAAAAAGTCATAGCCGCGGTGAGTCTTTCAATCTCGTTTCCGTCTAAAGCCTGTCAGATAGAACGCCGAGGGTATGCCCAAAAAGGAATGACGGACGCAGGTCTGTGAGGCTGAACAGCCGTCTTCACAAGATTCAACATCTCCGCGTGATGACCATGGCGGGGTTTCTCCGGGCCCCATGGGATATTCATATGCCGAGACGAGCATTTTGAAGCACACGATACCCACAGCCATGCGATTGTCACGAGAGATTTTCGTATAGTGGCCCTTCAACGGTTCAACCTCTTCTGGGGGCTCGGCAAGCGATGTTTGAAGTGCCGAATGCCGGGTGAAAAGTAAACATCTGGTGCGGATTTGCGGATTACATGCGGGTCGGATTTTGCAGCGAGCAGTGGCAGGACCAACCACATTATTGTCGTTGGTTTGTGCAAGTTCGTAATCGGCGCGACATGGATGGATCGTCTCGAGGTTTGCGGGAGCGACACCTTATGAGGAAACAAAGCAGTGGCTAGCGTCCACATGTACGTCGCTCGAAGAACATTCAGCAGGCGTTCATTGTATATCGTCCTGCGCACGACTCACTCAATGAACAGTATCTTCGTGGTTGTCCGGAGCCTCGAACCGGTCTCCTTCTAAGCCCAGCGCTTTGATCGCGGCCTCAACAAGGATTATTCCATGGCTGCGCCGGGTAGCTTCAGCTGATTGTTCAATTTCACCTGAAAAGTGATGCGGTCAACGCGAGTCACCTTTTCTGAAGCTCAAGACCCGCTGATAATACTCTTTGTGCAAGAGTGAGTCCTCAAGGACACGAAAAGCTTCGTTTGGTAGCAACCACCCTACACCAGCGACTCTGCTACCATCAAATCTGGACAGAGTTGTCAGCAACGAATGGCGTCTACTTAATGATCGATACGGAACTCACCGGCATGGACGAGCTCAGGCAGAGTCTCAGCAATGAAGGTGCTCTGGGGATATTAGCTTCTTACGCCTTTCCGGGCAGGAGGCCCTAAAGACATCTATTACAGCTCATGTTAGCTTTCCAGCTCGCGTCCCAGTGGAAGAATAAATTGGCAGATAACCCAGTGCCAATAGAGCTTTTTGACGGCAGCATCAACCCTCCTTCAAAAGCAGCTGCAGGGTCGTCGGCCTGATATCGTTCTGTATCGAGTAGACAGTCCATTGGAATCCTTTCGCCTCGACATTTGGCTTTGAAGGTTCTCACTTGCCGCCACAGATGGTGTCATTTCAATGATGAAAGACTTCTTCTTGCCACCACAGCTCCGCAGTCACCTTGAACGAGGAAGATCCGGAGAAGAGGCGGCGAAAACGAAACTGATTTCCACATCGATCGCCTGCTGTGCCGTCCATGCGCCGATCCCGTAGTAGTTACAGAGCTTCATGCTCACCATGCCAATGCTGAAGATCTTTGCCATTTGGATGGCCTTCGTCATGCCCGGACGAGCAGACAGGAAGCTGAAGGCAGTGTGAATGTCGTCCTGAGCCTCAACTGGAGTGATCTCTGGAAGGGTCGAGAGAGCCTTTAAATCAAGCATGTTGTACGATAAAGTCATATAAGCTACTTCTAACTTGGGGTTAGAAGCGGCGTCGCTTTTTACAACAAAGCACACCTTGTCGATGCGAGCGATGTGACGGCTATTCTGGCGATGTCATGATTGTCGGATTCTCGCAAGTACATATGTAAGCAGCCAACAGGCATCTTCCTACGAGTAGTGCGGTGTCTGTAGGCCCATCGTTGGCCAGTCGGGTTCTTCCTACCCAATTCTGCGCATCGCCTTGATCAGATAGTGTGGTGTTGGACTGTAAACTCTTGGGAAATTTCATGCCAGCCTCAGGTTTGAGATCTGGTGTGGAAGTGGCAGGGATAATGTGCCTGGGGATGGAAGGCTGCAGCCTGCGTGGAGGGTCTGGCGACGTGGAGGCATGATCTCATCCAATCAGCACAGCAGTGTGGTGGTCGTGGTCGACCCACGGAATATGCGCATTCGTGTACACGTGAGCTACACCGCAATCAGGCCGACGCCGACGGGAGAGGCACGCTGCCAGATGATCTGTTGCAACCGCAGTGCTGGCCTCTTCAGCGTCGACAGCAGGAGTCAAGCTGGACGGGAGAGGATGGCGATGGCGCAGTAGCAGCCCGCGTACCAGCAGTACCAGGCAGCATAAGCTTGAGCTTGCGGGCGTAGACGGAGAATCGCTGGGCCTCGAACTCGAAGAACTCCCACCGCCAGCCGTCCGGCTCGCGCATCGAGCTGCTGCTGCTAGTCGCCTCCATTCTCCTGCTGCAGAGGCTAGTCTACGTCGCCGGCGAAAGCTCTGCGACCTCATCGAAGCCGACATGAAGTTTTCGCATAGCATTCAATTCAATGCTGTGCCGGACTGGTCTTCCAACTACATCGCCTACTCTAACCTGAAAAAGCTCATATACCAGCTCGAGAAGCAGCTCAACCAGAATGGCCAAGTTACCTCAGGCCCAGCCGATCCCGAGTCGTCTCCGTTGCTTGCGAATGCTTCTCTGGACGACCCGGACAAGGTCTTTTCCCGAAAGCTGGATGATGAGTTGGACAAAATCAGCACTTTTTACCAGCTGAAAGAGCTTGAGATCTTCGGCGAAGTAGACTCACTCCTTCGCGATATAGAAGAATTCGATGAGGAACATGCAGCAGACGAGGCGGATGGCATGGGCGGAGAGCGTAGGCAGAGTCTGTGGACAAGAGCCAGGCAGCAGAGCATATTTCGCGGTTTCCCCAGGAAGAGAAGGAAGTCGTCGACAGTGAGCAGCAGCAGGCCGGAACGCGATGCGATCCAGGAGGAAGATGACGAAAGCGAAGACGAGGACAACGAGCAAGCTCCACTCACCAAGAGCACTTCTACCTTGGACAGATCTCAAACTCTTGACAAGGCCACAAAGCTAAGGCGTTATTCGACACGTGGAAAAGATCATGACTCTGGTGAGCAGGGCTCCGACTTTGCTCTGCGGCGACCAAGCATGGCTTTCAACGACTTCGGAGACGACGCTCTGCAGGCACTATACGATGAAGGCATTACGTTGAAGAAAAGGACGACGAACTTATATGTTAGTGTCTGCGAGCTACGGTCATTTATCCAGCTGAATGAGACCGGTTTCCGTAAAGTCTGCAAGAAGTACGACAAGATCTTAGACCGCAATCTCAAGCGCACCTATCTCGACGCAAAAGTCAAGCCAGCATATCCATTCCTCCCGAGCACCATGGACCGTCTCAACGAGTATCTGAAGAAGATCGAGGAAGCGTATGCAAGCGTCGTTACGAAGGGTGACGTTGAGGCGGCTCGCCAGGAACTCCGGCTTCATTTGAGAGAGCATGTGGTGTGGGAGCGTAATACAGTCTGGCGAGAGATGATTGGAATTGAACGTAAAGCACAAGCGGCCAATCTAGGCATCCGACAGACTATGCTCGGGCCAGACACAGATCACAAGAAAGCACGTCTGCAAGGAGACGAAGAAGAAGCTGCTACTAAAGAGGTCAATCTACCCATCGGCAAGTACAGATGCCCAAGGTTCCTGGTCACGGGGACTTTCTGGGTACTATGCGCCATTATCGCCATCTTTGCAGTACTCTTGGTGATTCCTATCATGGAGAGGCCAGAGCAGCAGAATTGCTTGGCTTTGGCCGTCTTTGTCAGCTTGTTGTGGGCAACGGAAGCTATACCACTGTTCGTCACCTCGCTGCTGGTGCCATTCCTTTGCGTCATCTTGCAAGTGGTGCGGGAAGACAACAAGCCATATCGACGACTATCTAGCAAGGAGGCTGCAGGATATGTGTTTGCATCAATGTGGACTCCGGTCATTATGCTGCTGCTAGGCGGCTTCACAATTGCAGCGGCCTTGAGCAAATATAACATCGCGAAGATGATGGCGACTTTCGTGCTCTCAAAGGCTGGCACGAGGCCTCGCACAGTCCTCCTCACGAGTATGGGCGTAGCAACATTTGCCAGCATGTGGATCAGCAATGTCGCGGCGCCCGTTTTGTGCTTCAGCATCCTTCAGCCTATCTTGCGCAACCTGCCGGCAGATAGCGACATGACCAAGGCTCTACTTCTTGGTATCGCGCTGGCCTCGAACATTGGCGGTGCCGCATCGCCCATCGCTTCACCGCAAAACTTGATCGCATTGGAGAATATGGAACCACAACCAGGCTGGGGTACTTGGTTCTTCATCGCGTTGCCCGTATGCATCATTAGCGTCCTCCTAATTTGGCTCTTACTACTCGTCACCTTCCGACCAGGCCGCAACACTACCATCGTGCCTATTCGTCCAATGAAGGACAAGTTTACTGGAGTGCAGTACTTTATCTCTATTGTCACGATTGCCACGATCATCCTGTGGTGTGTTAGTCATCAGCTTGAAGGCGTTTTTGGAGACATGGGCGTGGTTGCGATCATTCCCATGGTGCTCTTCTTTGGTACTGGAATTCTGACAAAAGAAGACTTTAATAACTTCCTATGGACTATCATCATCCTTGCCGCTGGTGGGTTGGCGCTTGGTAAGGCTGTGAACAGCTCTGGTCTGCTCAAGACCGTTGCAATCGCCATCTCGGAAGGAGTCTCCCATCTTTCCCTTTACGGCATTACCTGTGCCTTCGCAGCTCTCATTGCCGTTGTGGCGACGTTCATCAGTCATACGGTTGCCGCGCTGATCATCCTCCCTCTTGTGCGCGAAGTTGGCGCTGGCATGTCGGAGCCGCATCCCAACCTCCTCGTCATGGCTTCAGTACTCATGGCGTCTGCCGCAATGGGTCTCCCGACTTCGGGCTTCCCGAACATGAGTAAGTCCTTCGACATGCATGGTCTATACCATTTCTCTGCTAACGAATTTCTCAACAGCTGCCATAATGATGGAGGATCCACAAACCGGGCAACGATATCTTCAGGTCAGGCATTTTTTGACTCGCGGCATTCCAGCAAGCATAATTTCGTACGGAGTCATCATCAGCGTTGGATATGGCTTGATGATCGCGGTTGGGTTCTAGGTCCGTGATCGACACTCCTGACAGCCTTCACCGTTCCTGAGCTTCCATAGAATTTTGAAGATAGAGCGATGAAACGAACAACTACCATCTGAGCCGTAGTTTGTGTTCGCACTCATACCAATACCCCTTTAGCTCAATTCTTGCTGTCTTCGCTTCATCAGATGTGGCATTCGCTCGATGCTTGTGTGTGTGTGTGTGTGTGTGTGTTGATCACCCGTTCCCCTTCCTCGCCCGTTTCTCAACCATCCTGTTCAGGATCCTCCTCTCCATACATCTCTTCCTCTCTTTCTTCATCCTTCTTCTTCGCTCCCTTCCGCTCCTCTGCGCCGCCCTTGTCTTCGTCCATCTTCCGAGTCAAGAACGAATTGACTTCAGCCTGCAACTTGGCGGCATTCCCGCGGAGCTCTCCCAAGTATGCCGTCTTCTTCTCCACGTCGCCATCTCGAGGCGGAAGAGGTGGGAGTTCGTGGGAGAAGACCTGCGTGGATGTCGGAGAGTTGTAGGAAGCGAGTAGCGGTGGATGCGACATGGTGTTGCAGTGGCGCGTGGTGGTGGTGTTCAGGTTCAGGTTCAGGTTGGCCGCAAAACTTTGACCTCACGTCGCTTCCTCCGCGACTAGTGTACAATCTTGCTGGTGCTCGATGTTGTGCAATGTGCATTAATAAAAAGTCCCAAGCACTTGGAGTCGAACGGTCCGTCAACGGCTCGAGGACGACACCCGCTAGCTTGCACACACGGGTGGCCAACAGAAACGAGAAGAAGCAGGGCGGCAAGGTCCATCCCGTTGACCTGAGACAACAGGATGGTCACACGACATACCTATAGCACATTACCTCGACAGATACTGTAGGGATTGAACTGTGCAACGCTAGTGAGCTCTAGTTCTACACAGCTGTCCGCTCTCTGTCATCACCTCCCATCGATCACTCCCGACACAAGTTGGACAAAAGAAAACATCAGCAGGATCATAGAGTCTTTTAATCCCCAGCAACGACTCGTAATGGGCCCCATAGAAATCCCGCTTCCAGTCTGGATCGAGTCTGTTGTTCTCATTCATGTATCCACCTGTCTTTGGGGCCAGTACCTGCAATGCGCCTCCCTTGGCATACAGGATGTCGTTCTGGATCCGCCGAATCGAAGCCGAGCCGGTGTTCTGCGTCCAGCTGCGAGCGACAATATGATGCACAATCATTTCCCGCCAAGCAGGATTCACGCCTGACAATGGATGCGATTTTCCGTCGATGCCGATCTGGCCGTAGGGAGCGCCGAACATTTCGACTACGTTGGTGGTTTGCTGCTTGGACGTGCCAGCTAATGTCTCCAGAGCCTTCATTAAAGCGCTTCGATCTAGGAGGAGTGATTGTTCATCCAGGAAACGACCAGATGTTGCACCGTATGTCCCTGCTGGAGGTTCTACCCCCGAGAATTTGGAATAGAATGCTGCGTAGTCAGGCGTTTCGGTATACGATATGGAGACGAACAAATCTGATCCATTTTTCGCGACCAGTTTGGAGGTTATCGAATCGAAAGCTCTTTCGGCTTCCTTTCGTGGTTGCCTGAAATTGGCAAAAGCGTGAGTGTATGAAGTGGTAAAATTGGCCACAAATGGTACGGCAGCAGCTGTGGTCCACTGACCATAGCCTGACCAGCCTGATTTGGCCAATTCGGGAAATCCTTGGTAGATGTCAGCAACAGTGTCCAGAAAGCTTGAGGTATTTCCCGACAGAGATGCAATCGCTAGCGTCTGAGCAAACACCTTTTGAGTGGGATAGGCTTTTACTGTTGTCTCGATGACGACACCATAAGTACCAGGCCCGCCTCCACGAATTGCGAAGAATAAGTCCTTGTTCTCGACAGATGAAGCTGTGACCAGAGTGCCATTCGCAAGGACGACTTTTGCGGACAAAACATTGTCTGCTCCCAAGCCAAAGTCATGTGTGGCAGGTCCGTGACCTCCTCCTTGCATCCAGCCTCCGATACAGCCTACAGATGGCGTTCCACCGCCGACGACGAGAAGATCCCGCTTTGCTGCTTCGGTATACACGTCGGCCCATGTATAACCGCCTCGAATGGTGAAGGCCGAGCCCTTCCACAAAGTGGCAGCCTTCCGATTCACACCACGATCGAACTGGGCATGATAGTCAATCCCTTTGCGCAGGTATTTGATCCAGACTTGAAGGCTGCCGTACCCCATAGATCTACCCAGGAGGTCATGTCCCGTGTCTCGAATGACGAGGCGAATGTTGGCCGATTTGGCCCAAGCAACAGCAGATTGCACATGTTCGATTTCTGAAGCATTCACCGTGTATACCGGTGCTTCTCCGAGTGCACATCTAACGTCTGCTTCTTCGCCGAACGGTATTAGTGGACAATCGGGCTGAAGGGGATACGAGTATCCAACTGGGAAACTTTGCTGGAAACTGTTATTAGAATAATGCTTCGTAATCAATGCACATTCCGAAGCGTCCTGACGCGGACCTTTGTAGCAAGAGATTGCTACAGGTGCATTCACAAGTAGTCTGCCGTTGATGGAGCGATTGAATGCCTTCCATTCCGCCGCCGCTGGCCAGCATGGCTGCTCTGGAATCTAGCCAGTTGGTCAGCGAACGTTCGCGACGCAATTTGGGTCAGACACACTGACGCATCTGCATTTCTCAACCGTAGCCGTAGACTGGCTCAAAGCAGCACCAAAGAAGAGCAGCGTTGTGAGCTTGCGGAAGACCATGGTGTGCGGTCGCTCGCAAGTAAGAGCAACACACAGCTGCGAGAGCTGCGAGCAGACTTGCCTTCCAGAATAATGGACATTGATTGTACAACATTCCTGAGGGTGGCGAGCTGAAAAGCTTCCACTCGTCAACGATGCCTTTACTCTTTTCAGCCTCCGCTGCATGCTACGCAAGCTGGTATGTAGTGCACCGCTGATCCCCTCCTTCGTCATGTGCCATTATTGCGGCTGAGATCAATCGAGATGCGTCATTGTCGTTCCCGTATCTAAGCGACTAACTATTGAAAGATTCATGGCTGAGACTGAGAGCAGGATCAAACTCAATGCAGTACACGCGTGATGCATATTTTCAAGTGTTTCTTGTTTTGCTGTGCGACACTACGCTCTTGAGTTTGTGTCCAAATACATGGCCATATATGGCAATCGTGTTCGCTATTACAGTGATCACGGGGTAGTATATTCCCAGTCTCATACGCCACGCTATTCAATTATCCAAAACGAGCCCGACACTGTCTATTGTCCTGCTCACTGTGGTATCAGAAGCGAATGTCGTCCAATCCTGACATTCTGCACTCCATATGTCTCCCATAGAAAGTCTCCCCAACACAAGCTGACCAGGAAGTCCCTGTTCCCAACCCCCAACCGCATGAAAATCATCGACTACCGGAATGTCTTGGAAGACTTTTTAAAGGGGTTCCGGAAGCGGATCTCGTTCGTCTGCTCAATCCCTCGCAGCAATTCGATATTGTCAATTGGCATGCCATCACGCGACTGGTACGTAGGTGCACCCTTCAGAATGCCGAAGTCGACGATGAGAATGCGGCCGTCTTGACTTGTCGCGACGATGCGACGGTAGTCAGACTTGGCTGCAAGCATCCAACTAGTAGTCCACTCTTCGCCACGCCATAGCTCTTCACCAGTCACAAAGTCGTACACACGGAGGTCGAGATCGTAGCTGCCGGAAACAACGCGATCATTGGCGCTATCGAGCCACAGCGAGCGGACAAGCTGGGTATGGCCAGAAAATTGCATGACTTCCCGGCCCGTCTCCGTCTCGAACTTGTAGGTGATGTTGTCATTGCCGCCTGCCAGGACGTACTTCATGTCTTCCGAGAACTCCACTGCTGCAAGGCCTCGTTCTTTGGCGGGAAACTCCTTGATAAGCTTCATCTGGTTGAGGTCCCAAAGCCGAGCAATGCCGTCTCCACTGGCGCTGACAAGAAGATTGCCGCGCAGCTGAACGGCATTCACAGGTCCTTTGTGACCCGTGAGCTGTCCCTTTTCCGCCAGATTTTCACGATCCCAGACAATGATTTTGGAGTCCTTGCTGCACGAGACAATGTGCTTCGCATCCAGAGCCACGTCGAGTACGCCTCCAGTATGACTCTTCAGCCGCTTGATGATTTCGTATGTTTTCACGTCCCAAACCAGGAGTGTGTTGTCAGATGATCCAGTGACCAGGATTTCGTCGTCGTACTGCAAGCATAATATGCTGGCGTCGTGACATTCGTTGTTGGGGTAAAAGATTCCCTCGCCGTAAGCCGTACCATTGACGCTGGCAGTGGCCATGTGAAAGGAGGGATAATCCACGGTGCGGAGCACTTTGGGTCCCAGCGCTGGCTTCACATTCGGCCGACCAATGACTCGGAGGCATTGATACGTGTTGATATCCCAGACACGAATGGTTCGATCTCTTGAGCCTGTGATGATCTTGTCCTCGTCAAATTGCAGGCAGTAGACGCTGTCGGTGTGACCAGATAGATAAACAGCCTTGCCAGCATCCGTAGCCCCCGCTCGCCAATTCTTCTCCAGATCCACCCTCGCCTTGTACATCTTGCGCCATGCTTGATCGGGTCGATTGGGCCTTCCAACACCCACTCCGCCCACTTGAATCGGCGCAGGGTTGGTCATTACCTGTCGCTGGTATCTGCGGTAGAAGATGGTTCGCCAGACTGACGGGTCTTCGATCAATGACTTCCACCGCCGCGAGACCTGTTCAGCATTTATGAGGTCTTTGGCGTCGAGGTTTTTGAGGACTGCAAGGGCAAGTTCGTTCGGCAGCACAAAGGTGAAATCGTGTTGTGAGGGAGCCGCAAAGGTGTGATAGGACATGTTAATGTCCCCATCAGAGTCGCGGATGGAAGCGGTATAGTTGGACAAGTCTGCTCCACTGTCCGCAGCACTGCTCAGCGAGCCCAGGCGGCTCCGCCGGGCGTGGATGTCGTCGTACTCAGGCAGCCATGCTGAGGGTAAAGACGTTGGCGAAAGACCCGGATTGTTGTGCATTGCCGCAGCTTTCCTTGCGGCATCGCCGCCTGGTGCAGTGCAAATGTTCGGCATGAATCGGGAGGTGGCGGGTCGTACGGGAAGGCCGTATGTGGTTGGGGCAGGGGCAGGTGTGTCTTTTCGGTCACCCAGTGGAAGGAAGTGTCGGTGTTTGCGTGGCCTGTCATCGCCCTGACGTGCAGTGCGTTTTGATGGCGAGGTTGGAGGCTTCAATGACAACAGCGCGGGATCGATGCATGTGCTTTCGTCCGTGATCTCCACGTGGTTTGGTGTGCTCGACCTCCTGACGCGGCCACTTGATACGCCTGGCAAGGCGTACCTCTGCATGCTCTCACGAAAGCCATTGACCCGTTCTTGATAGGTTCGTGATAGTCTTCTGCCGAGCGAAGCCGCCTTCTCGCCTCCAGCATGCGAGCCATGGCTGCTGTCAGAGGAGTCGCCGGTAGAGTGGTGAATGGGAAATCGGTATAATGGTTTTCTCGCGCGACGTGACTGGCGCAGTGTTTCCAGATGAGCTTCCTCTGGTAAGCTATTCAACCTGTCCTCTTGCGCAAGCTGCATTCCACTCCACCGCAGCTTCGGCACTGTGTCGACCGTATCCGCCACCTGGTGCATGTCGGTGGCTGTATCGTCACGAGACATGCGTCGTCTCGAGAAGGGAGCATGTGCGTTCATGCCGGCAGCAGAGGCTCGCGGGGTGGTGTCATGGTCCTCGGGCGATTCTGCTTCCTCGGCGATGAAATCGGGCGGTGTGGCTAAGGAGGAGGAAGATGGAGAAGCGTGGGCGGTATGAGGGCGTTGGTCGGGAAATGCAGGCCTGGAGTAGGGGAGATGGTCGAGAGGAGGGTGCATTATGTATATTGGGGGTGAGGGAGGGTCGGAGAGATGTGCAGCGCAGCGCAGCGCTACAGCGGTGCTGTGCCGTGCCGTGCGTGCCAGTGTGCTGTGCAGTGTGCAGTCGAGAGTTGGCGTGCAGACTAGTCGTTTCCCGATGCGGAGCAGGAGACAGACACAACGAGTCGCGCAGTGCTGATGATCGCTGATGGCAGGACTCACACGCCGAGTCAGCGCCCAAGATCTGCTGCGGGCTGCTGGCGGCTGCTGGTGGTGGCAGGTGGCAGGTGGCCGGTTGCAGAGTGGTGTCGAAAGAGCGTGGAGGGCAGGGGAGGGGAGGGTAGGGCAGGGCAGGGCAGCGTTGCGTTGCGTTGCGTTTGTTGTTTACGGAGATCGAGGCGTGCGTGGCCGGACTGGTTGGTTGTTTGTACCGAGTTGGGCCAGGGGTGGCGCGGTGGTGCGGCCGGGACGGGAAGGGCGGTGGCGTGAGCGTTGGAGCGCGAAGGAGTGGAACGGGGGGCAGCAGCAGCGGAAAGCGAGCAGTGTGTCCTCTCAGCTATAGCGACTTTGTGGCGTGTAGCGGGCGGGTACCTTCGTACAGGCGAAGCGAGGTGGGCGTGCGGGTGCGGGTGCGGGTGCGGGCACGACAGAAACAGGAATGAACGGCGTGCTGGTGAACGGGGACCAAAGCGGTGTGGTATGGATGGACGGGCAGCAATGCAATGCAACAAGAATAAGGACCAGGACAATGATGGGATGGCACGCAACAACGACAGCTCGCACCGCAGACGGCGGCGGCGGTGGTCGAGGCAGGGCAGGGCAGGGCAGCTAATAATATGGGAGGGCCGGCGCAGCGAGTCGGCGCAGGCAAGAGCAGTGCCAGTGCCAGTGCCAGCGCCAGTGCGCTCTCGCCAGCGTCAGTGCCAGTTTCGCTTTCGTCCAGCTGGTTCGCCGCCGCCGGGTCTTGCTGGCCAGATGCGAATCATGCGAATCATGCGATGCGATGCGTGCGATGCGATGCGATGCGTGCGATGCGCTGCGATGCGATGCGATGCGCTGCGGCCAGTAGTAGTCAGGCACTCAGGCAGCCAGGCCGTCCGGCAGTCAGCTGGCTCTGGCTCTGGCTCTGGCTCTGGCTCTCGCGGAGCTGAGTAGTGGCTTCCAAATTCCAATGATGATAATAACAATATGAGTGTGCTGGTCGTCTGCAGACTCGTCGAAGGGCAACGGCACCCTACTAGCCAGCCTATATACCGTGCCTTTCGGGTTCACTTTTTCCAGCGCCCCCAGTCCCAAACTTCTCAGCATGACCAAGCTTCGCTCATTTGTCGGACAACAGCCCTTCGTGCTCCCCGCGCCCCGGCTCCTTTTTCCTTACTTTCCTCTTGCTTTCTCGCCTCTGCACTGCGGCGACTGCGCTGCACCATCGTGACGTTATCCCATCCCACGCCCGCGCCCTTAATTCACCCTTAAGTTCTTTGCAAGCTTTGCACACCATCCAGCCCAGCCCAGCCCAGCCAAGCCTGCCCTGCCCTGCCCTCGAAACATCAGCATCAGCATGCATTATTGATGTGTGACGGCACCCTGCCAATTTCTGCAGCACTGAATCACTGCTGAGCCACGCCTTGTGCCGCCCTCCCCCCCCCCCCCCCTCCACTTCCACTTCGCTGCGCCGTCCCCGTCCCCGTCCCCGTCCCCGCCGAGCTGCCGAGCTGCCGACCCCCGACCCCCGACAGTTGCACCAGTGCGAACTTCTCGCCGCTCGCATCACATCACCCTTACCCTACCCTACACTTCCTTCTTGCTGCATCCACCTGCCTGTGTCGCCGTCACCTGCTTTCTCGCATTATTCTCCTGCAGCCCCATCGGCATCCGCACCGGCACCCGAGCACTCGAGCACATCATGCCTGCCATGAATAGTGCCAGCGCCGCGCCAGTTATTCCGTGGCCTTACCGCCTATTCTTCCTCTACATCGAACCAATTTCGACTCTTGTTGGCGCATACTTTGCCCATTTTCAGCAGGCCTACTACATGCACCACACTTATTCGACTGACACCCACCTGCTTGCCGTCTCCACTCGTGAGAGCATCGTCCTCTCGCAGTTGGCCAATTTGTATCTTGCCTTCACTCTAAACGAAGCGCTCGTGCTCAGAGCTACCAACAATCGCCGCGTTTGGAATACTCTGCTCCTCGTTCTCCTCCTTGCCGATTTCGGACATCTGTACAGCGTCAAAGCCGCAGGTCTGCACCTTTACACTGCCGTCACCCAGTGGAATGCAATGTACTGGGGCAATTTAGGATTCGTCTATATCGGCGCCCTCCATCGCACGTGTTTCCTGCTCGGCATTGGCCTTCCTGCCTCATCCGGCGCCGGCGTCAATGCAAAGCTCAACACGTAGCGCCACGCCAACAATAATGCCTTTTTCTCAGCTGTCGTCGTCAGCTGCAAGAATTGCCATCAGATGACTCGCATGAACTGCACTACGATCCTTCACTAAGCTTCGGGCGTGCACACCGGCAAGCACCGACGGAGCGGTTGGGTTGAGACCGGCCCGAGCAGGATCCAAGGTATTACCGACTATGTTTGGCAACACATCCTTACCTGTGCTATCCTCGCTCGTTCGAGCAACATACCATCTGACACAACTGCATGGCCGGTCGCTGTAGACCAGCATCAAGCGGGACCACTTGCATTGCAACAACGGCCCGGCTTCTGGACGTTTCTTCATGAACCATGACGCCTCAATCCCACTCAGCTTTCGTGGTTCCATCTCAGAGCTACCGGCCATCTCAGCTTCATGAGGAGTGCGTTCATGCGGTCTTCACGCCATACAAACCTACCTTTCTTTCAAGCTTCTCCGCATTCCACATCGCTCCGCTCGCAGGCGAACGCTTAAAGCGGCTTGCCCGTTCACGCGTGGTTCGTGCGCGTGGTTCGGGTCTCGACTTACCACCGGCCTGGAGCTCAAATCGCTATCCGATGGAATGGTACTGCATTGTCTCGCGAGTCGCAACGCCCATGCATTTCCCTTGGAATGTGGCGAAAATTTGATTGACTGTATGAGACAAACGCTGTCTGACTCCTAGGTCCAGCTCTGGTCTTTTGGCGGCTTCGATAAAGATCCTGTGCAAGAATTAGTCCTCGTCAGTAATAATGGGCAATGAGCATCGGTGACCACTTCTTGCATGACGCGTGAAGGTTCTGAAAGGTTCTCGATCATCAGAACACATCCCTCCCGATGCGGACACACGCTTCTGTTTGTGAACGCAGACCGAGCACACAATTCAAGTTTACATTTCGAGCAAATGATGACACTCAAACGATATTCATCGGTGCAAAAGGGTCGGGATTGTGGGGGAAGCACTACCACTATTCAGTAGCGATTTCCATAGTAATTGTTAGGCCACTTCTCTGCTATTCCTACTGCTCTTTCTACGCTAAACTTAGCTAAAATTACTATATTGCTGTCGCTATTCTATGTTGTCGTCTTTTTAGTAGTATAGGCTATTCCGAGGTATTATTATTACCGCGCCTACCTACCGCTATGCCTGCCCTTACGGTCTAAGATAATAACCTAATCTAGTACTACCTCGACGATAGCTAGTCCTTCGAAGAGATTGCAAAGCTATTATAGTACGATAATAGAGGGTCTCGGACAGCGGTTTACGTATAAATAAAGAGATAGAGGGAGACTAGCTCGATAGTACTAAAGAAGGGCAGAAGGCCTCGTATTATAACGCCGGAAATAAGGGATCTCGTACTAGAGATATTACTAGAGACACTATCGTTATAGTATAACGAGATATAGTATTATCTACTAGATAAGTTCTCGGAATAGATTAGTACCTAGACGATTGCGCGGTTGTTAGCTAATAAGTACTTTATAATTAAACTAACCTCGAGAACGGCTAAGCAACGCGATCTAGTCGTAAGGGCTATATTCGAGGCGTAGTTATAGTCCTTTAGTATCGATATAATAGTATATATAGACGAGAGCTATATTAGTAATAAAGTAGTATATCGGAAAAGAGGTTAGGCGCCTATAGGTATACTAGCGCACGATATTTAGTACCTATACTATAGTAAGCACTTTACGCTACTACCGGCGTATATGTCTAAAGGATACCTCGAAGATGCCTTAATTAAACCTAGCAGTATAAAGATAGCAGACTTCCTCGAATAGCTTTAGTTATATGTACTACTAAAGATGTAGCGCTACCTAGTACTACGCTCGGTATTATTAATAGATAACTGCGCGACCTATAGCCGCTAATACGTCGTCGATATATACTACGAAGCAGGCGTACGAGTATTGTTTCTACCGCCGTATTCGCCTAACTATATGCTAATCGAGAAGTCCTTTTACCTACTAAAGCACTAGATACGTAGACACTATAAGTTAATACTAAAGTATAGCGATAATAGCTAGCAAGAGAAGTTTAAAGCGTTTCTACGGATAGGGTATCGCAATTAGAGCCGAGGGGTTGATTATATAGCAATCTTTAAGGGTTATTATATAGTAGAAACACTATACTACGCAATGTAAGCTATATAATATACTACTATATATACTTTCGGTATTAGTTAAAAGCCTAGACTCGGCGCTATATAACGATATAAAAATCTCGTCGATACGACTATTATATAGTTAGTACCTACTCGCTATCGTTACCTCCGGTATACAGACTCTGCCGCTAAGCTATGTTTTTATACTAGCTCGGTAGGCTCGGTAAGCTCGGCAAGTTCCGAGTTTGGTTTAGCGTTCCTATAAATTTAGTAATACTAATTTTTATATATACCTGCACCTACGCTAGTATATTAATTTTTTTCCTATCGTAGAAACTAGCTCGTTTAGTGCTTTTTAAAAAAAGAATAATATTAATCGGATATATAGTTATTATATTATAAATTTAAGTATAGAATTTACTCGAATTCGTGAAGTCGTAGCTTTATCGCTCGAGCTTCGAGCTGTAGCTAGAGGTCCGACATTTAGTCTATAAGCCGGCTTTTAACACTAAATCGAATTACTAAGCAACTACTATACCGATTAGCACGATCTTTTTTTTATAATATACCGACAGCATCCGCTAGAAAGATAGCGCCCTTATTTATATAGAGAGAACGGTGCAATATAGTATTCTTAGTATATAAAGTTAGATTAGTTTTGCCGCGGGTATAGCCGAGAGTTTTGCTAACCCCGCGAAGCGAGTCCGAGCGACTTCCGACATTAGTCTATAGCTTTACTAACATCGATAGAGGCCTAGAATACACTACTTTTAAAGGATACTAATTAATTTATATGTCCTATATAGATCTATACTATTTAATTATGCTTCTTATATGTAGCCGGAATTTTTCTAATAGTTATAGTTAAATACAGATCGCGCTAAAGTATTAAAGCCAGTTTAACTGCTATATAGCTAGCTAGCTTACAACTCGTCGTTAGTTACCTCCTCGTTAGTTATAGCATCGTTATTCTCCTTCTCGCTTTTACAGGCTAGACTACCTTCTATAGCACTTACGTAGACCTTTATCTTATCCTTAAGCTTCCGTCGGATACTAATTTATAGTACGTTACTTACTAGCACCTTATTAGGCTCCTTCTTTATTATATAAAGAGTCTAGAAGCTAACCTTTAGCCTAGCCTTCGCTATAGCGAGTGCCTCTCGCATATACGTATACCTCTTCGAGAGCTAGTCGCAATATCTAGCAATATACTTCGCCCTATTAAGAATCGCCGCCTTGCTATCGACAATCGGCGAAGAGCGTAGATTTAGCTAGATAGGCGGATTCAACTAAGCTTGTAGCGGCATTAACTAGGGCATTGTATATAGCGGAGGTATAGCGAATAGATTAAATAGAGGCATAGGGCTATATTATAGCATAACCGGACCTGCTAGAGTTAGTGTCTCTTATAGCAACGATAGCTGCTCCTTCTTCTTACTACGGTATATGTTATTATAGTTCTTTACAACCTTCTAGACAAGCTAACCTAGCATATTGTCTACTATTGCAGTACCGGCTTCTATAGCGTTGCGCTATTCTTCTAGGTATCTACCTAGTATCTAGTAATAAGTGCTATTATACTATATATAACAGCCGACATTGCCACCCTTCTTAGTATTAGCGCACTATCTATCTAGACAATAGAATTTAGATAACAAGGTCTTATATATCTCTCGCGACTCGATAATGCTATTAATTGTCTTCTCGTTAGCGTTGCGAGTCGATTTAATACCTTTCTCTTTCTATATAGTAGGTAGCTTGTCTTAGTCGGACTCTATAAGGTTAGCATTACTATTAATAGCAGTAACCGACTCTCGTAGCTTATTAGACTAGCATTCTTTAACCGTAACTATAACCTATCGCTTAGCGTCTACGTTATAGACAATAAGCTCGTCTATATTAATAGTCTAGTCCTTTAGCTTAGTAAACAACACAGTATCTGTCTCCTTAGTAGCACTGTGTTTAGTAGCCTTAATAATAGCCTCTCGCTTATAGAAGTAGGCCTATAGACTACGTTCTTTAGCAAATTCCTATGCCTTAATCTTAGCCTCTCGAAACAGTATAGATACTATATCTATCTTGCCTCTATAGATAGCAGATTAACTATTAAGCTTAACCGGTTGTTGCTTATGTTATTTAAATAGTGTTTTGTAGACAACCTTATAGTAGAGGCTAGAAGCTTAGGTAGAGGGCTAGTTATCGGACGGCTTACTAGTAGGTATAGATTTGCGTATACGTTTTTTAATAACTACTATACTATTTTCATCCTAGTTACTAAGAGGTCTATTAGATATATTAATAGTATTATTCTGCGTGTCGCTTTGTGTATTAGCGGTGTTGCGTAGTAGTTTAGTAGCCGCCTATCGCTTACGCTTCTACGAAGCTTAAGATTTCGGGCCCTACGCTTTCTTCGACTTTACGCCCTTCGGTTAAGTAACTAATACCTTCGAGTAGGGATTAGTCTTTGTCTTAGCGCTAGTTTTACGTAGTTTTTGACTCTTCTAAGAAAGAGTCGTCCCTTCGGCACCTACCTACGCGCTTTACGTACTAGGCGGTAGAGTTGCTATTACTTCCTATATACTCGATAGTATTCTATCGACCTTCTACTACCTTATTTCTATCTCTTTCTCTTCTTCTTCTTCTTCTTCTTTACTACCTTCTTCCTCCTCTTTAACTATACTCGGTATACGAAAGTGCTCGATACTAAGCAAATCTATAGTATATAGCTCCTTAGCCGACTGTTCCTCGTCTCTTTATAATACCGCTACTACTAGATTACGTACCTATATATCCTTAATATATAACGAGTCGTCGATAAGGTCTTATATATATTAGATAGCTAGTAGTAGCTTAATAGGCGACAATTGCGTAAAAGCTACTTAGGTAAGGGTAGCGAGGCTAAACTCGTCGCTTAGATATACTAAATTCTTAGTAGTACGTACTAGCGGCGACGAGGTATACCCTACGGAACTATCTGTACCTTCGGAGGTTATAGTTTGCTAAGAAAATAGCCTAATAATTGCTATCTAAGTGCTACACGATATTTCGAGAGGTAGTGGTAGACCCACCTCCGCAATCCCGACCCTTCTGCACTTTAGAATAAGCCAATTCCAGCACTCCCATCACCTCGCTTGTAATAAACATGTTTCCTCAAACCACAATTCTAGTGTGTGAAACAACCGCACTGTCATTGGATTGAGTTGGAGTCAATGTTCCAACAACGTTTCACAATCAACGACGTCTCAAATTGCCAATAAGAATGTCGTCATCACAGGAGCTTCGATGGGTACATGTATGAGCAAACGGATGTTCATATCGACAATAAGCAACAACAACAACTCAGCCATTCTCACCGTCACAAGCACGACTGGGCATGTCCCCAATTACTTTCCCCTTTCTCCTCTGGCATGAGCCCCCGCACGATCGCTGACCTATATCTTCTCGCCGTTTACCACTCCAGCAAAGCAGCTCAGGAGGCCTTCACCAAAAGTTCTCGCTCTGCGGCCTGGCGTCGCAGCCACGAATATTTCACGAATTCCGCGTAGGTTTCGATATAAAAGGACTTTATGTGATGATTTTATGAAGGGAAGGGCATGGTGCCTCTTGTTGCGGAAGATGTGGCTGAATGTCACGCCCACTGCTCAGGGAAGGTGGATTGTGATCGACGCTCAACTTGCACTTGCACTTGCAATGCCAGAGAGTGATCCTGATGTCTCTGAAGTCTGCAAGTTTTTTTTTTCTTTTTTTTTGACAAAACATGGAATGAACGTAACGGGAAGAGCGGTGGTGGGTTGTAGATGACACTTCGCGAGAAACGTCATGAGAACGCAAAGCGGAGTGCCTTCTTCAAGCGCTCACTGCGCCTTCTATGCAGTGGCAACGCCAAAATGAGAGGGGCAAGGGAAAATGTTGAATCGATCTCGTATGAATTACAGTACTCGTACTACCATGCATACCTCATCCATCCATATTCCTCGCCCTGATGCCTCATGAGCTACTAGGTAGATCATACTAATATTCTCTGCTCCTCAAATCTCCATAGTGCTTTCCCCTCCTTCGAATGTCGCAGCCAGGTAGCTAAGTATCAATAGAAGCAATTATTTTGTCGTCCGCTCCGTCATGTCATGCTGTATCTGGTCGTAATATATCCGTCTATTCCTTGCTTGTAGTTTCATGTCCACGGGTGGTGCAGCATGTTGGGTAATTTGTGGGTGCTGCAACTTTCAGTCGGCGTAGTATTGATCGCTCTTGCCGCGCATCGTGCTACCAGTTTCGAGCATATCTTCGGGAGACTCTTGATAGTAGTAGTCATGAGATGGCGCGTACTGTGGCGGAGATTCCGGATCGTAGACTTGTGCTCGATAGTTGAGAACGACCTTCGCGACCAACGCACCAGCAAATGCGCCCAGCAGGAACATTGCCACAGAAGAGCTACTTGTCCAGGTCGAGTTTCCGGCGATGCCTGGTTCTCCACTGAGCAGGTTGCGTACCAATTCAAAAGGATGTCCGCAGTATCTCGTGAGATTCACCGCAGTGCCTGTGACAAAGTTAGTGTGACTCCTCTACTACGCCAGATCCAGCCTGATCACTTACCTAGTCCAGCTGCGATAGCTACTAGAAATCCTTTGATTGAGGAAGGCCAGAACATGCAGATAGCAGCGCAAGTCGCTAGGATGAAGTAAGTGGTGAAAGTCAGGCAAGTTGCGAATGTCCAGGTAGAAAAGCCGAGTATTCTCTCATAGAGATCGAGAAAAGGTCCAGCAGCCTTATTCAGACCTTCTAGGCGCTCCTGGGTAGCATTGATTGTAGAATGCATGTCGTCGACTTGTCGACCTATGCTTTGTTGCTTGCTCGCTGTGACGTCCATTTGAGTATGTACCAGTCCCACCTGCTCCAAGGATGCGGCAAGACCGTATCTGATATCTTCCAGATTTCCAGAGAGGCTATGCACGACCTCGTTCGCATTTTGAACACTCCCCGTGAACTCATACACATTCCGATGAACGCTGGCGAGAACTAGCTGCAAGTCGTACTGATGCTTGCTCAGAGCGATCTCAAGTTCTTCCCCGTACTTGAGCATTCCGGTCTGAAGGTGCTCGTCCATTTGAGATTTGTAGTCCCTGAAATGTTCGAAGATGCCATTGATTTCGCTGCTGGCCTGTCGAACCATTCCCATCTCGGTTGCGATCTCTGCTGCGTCTTTCTTAATGTTGTTCTGAGATTCTTTCATCTGAGCGAACAGCGTCTCGTGCTCGGCAAGAAGGTCGTCTTGTAGGTCGTGTACCGCAGCTTTCAGGTTGTTGAACTGCTCGCGAAAGCCTTCGAAACTGGCCTGATGCTGCGCCATCGTATGATTTAGGCCAAAAAGTGTCTCGAAGAGAGCAGTAAACAGCTCAAGCTGCTCGTCCTTTGCGACATCGTTTCGCAGTTGCCGGCACACAGAAAGACCGCGGCTCTTGGTGTTCTCGAAAGTCGTCCACGCCTGGCTATCCTGGTAAAGAGCATCCATACAGATACGAAGCTGGCGCCCAAGATTAGGGCTGTGAAGGTCCATAGTCGAAAGTGGCCGACACTCTGATTTCCACTCCTGGAGGGCCTCCTCGAGACCGCATTGGACCATGTGTATAGCAAAGAGCTGTTCGGCGTTGTCAATTACGGCATCACTGATGCCTCGCGAACCAGCGTCGTGGTAATTTAAGCAGAAGTCAATCAGGTTTGTGCCCGCTCGATGCTTGCAAGGTGTTGGCAGGCTGCGCAATTCGTCGACTATATCAAGTGCATCCTTGATGTGGTTCACGACGGCTACTGAAGGTTGCGCATGCGCGTGCCTAATGGGCTCAGGCGACACGTCGCTGTGGCTGCGCCATGCGAAACCAGCTTTGAGGGCACAGGGGTCAGTATGTCGAGGGGTAGCAAGAAGAGCAAGAGCCTACCTGTGGTGCTGCTGATATGGAAGATGAGTACGAGCAGTGCGGTTATGAAGCGCGTGGCCGATGTTGACGACATCTCGATGTCAGTTGTCGCTGAGTGGATGGCGCTGGCGATGGTCAAGCAAGACGCTATGGAGGAGAATGAGTTGAGTGAGTGTTGAACTCAATCAGAAAACATCGACTGAATGTGTGTCGATATGGTCAAAAAGTTGCAGGAGATGAAGGAGTCAGGTCGTTAGTGGTGAGTCGCAGATGTCGGTAATAGCGGTGACGAAGACAATAGAGCCTCTGACTGCCGCGACACTTCACTTACGCTTTCGACCAGCGCTTTAATTGGGCTGCGAGTGAGGGATGCAGTTGCATGTGATGGCCGAGAAGCAACGATGTGATGAGGTTGGAGCTCGGTTGCCGGATCGGGCTCTGCGGTCTGTGCGCGAAGGAGATGCAGCAGGCAGAGCAGTCGCGAGTTTTTCATTCCATCTCGACCAAAACAGCAGCATCGACAATGGCGGCCTCGCGACAATGTAGACGCTCGTCGAGAGCTCTCTTGCACTCCTTCACCGGTGCTCCTCGCGAGATCACGGTTCCAATCTTTCTTGCGCCCGCATTCGCAGCACGATCACAAGCACCACCATCACCTCCTTCACGCCTGCAGTCGTCCCGCTTCTCGACGTCGGCAAGATGCGCATCCAAGATTGGCAGATCGCCGCTCACGCTGCCACCCGAAGTCGAATTCACAGTCACAGAAGCGCTGCCACAGTCTAAGAAGTCTCGCGCCAGTCGCAACGTCCAAGGCGCCACAGTCGATATCGAAGGTCCCAGAGGAAAGATGAGCATGTCTATCCCGCCGTATATGCAGATTCTCTCCGACGACGAAACTCGAACACATACACTGCGGATCGAAGATACAGAGGATAAGAAGCAGAAAGCCATGTGGGGTGCGTATCCCCCACCGGAGGACATTGCCATTGCCATGCTGGATTATTGATTCTAACGACGTGCAGGCACCGTTCGAGCATACCTGCAGAATCACATACTCGGTGTTAGTGAGGGCCATGTTGCGATACTGCGGCTGGTTGGCGTAGGCTACCGAGCTACAGTAGAGAAGGATGCTCTGACAAAAGAACCTGAGTACCCAGGCCAGGAGTTCGTATCACTCAAGGTTGGATATTCACATCCTATCGAGCTTGGCGTACCAAAAGGTGTCAAGGCGAGCACACCGCAGCCAACTCGAATACTGCTCGAAGGATGTGAAAAAGAGGTGGTCATGCAATTTGCGGCCGAGATCAGAGCTTGGAGGAAGCCAGAACCTTACAAGGGAAAGGGGATTTTCGTGAACGACGAGACAATCAAATTGAAGGCCAAGAAGATCAAGTAGACTCTTTAATGACCAAGAAAGAATTTGGAAGGCCTGAATGAAGCAATCTGCTGCGCGCTGGACCCGGTGACGCTTTCGAAAAGGCACATAGATGTACCGCAAGAGCGCTGTAATGCATGATATGCGATGTGGGCCTGCAATTTGGTCCATGCTCTCCAGTTCTACGGTCTCCCGAGTGCATAGGAGGTTCTTGAATGTTTGCGCACGATCTCAGCGGTTCGACTAAGTGCACCGGTCTTGAGGCACTTCGGGCATATCTGTGACACAAGGCATCTAACCATTCAAAGGTCCGGAAAGTAGGACGTTACACAGCTCCAGAGCTTCTGCCTTGCGCTGGCAATGCATCTGTAGGCAGAAGTGGCACAGCTCCAGGCAAGCTCTCTCACCGGTATTGCAAGCTCCCACTTTTGAGGCCGACTTGCTATATCATCTGCATTACCTGTGTCTACAAATCTCTCAACACAGCAGTTCTTCCACCTTCTGCAATTTCATATTCGACACTGCTGACGCTGTAATGTCTGCCAAAATCTCCGATGCTCCTGATGGTGCCGGCCACGTAAGCGACGAGTCTTGGGACCAACCCAACGAAGATGCTGTGAAGGCACCAGAAGAATCTCGTGGCCGTAGCCGCCATTCAAGCAACCGCGAGTCTAGCCGTGCAACAAGTCCATCGTCAAGCGAGGTCTCGGACGAGGATGGGCCAGTCGGAGAGTCCGCCCAGATAATCGAGGTGTTTAGAGCTCGATGGGAAGACTGGACGACTGACAAGCCAAAGAAGAAACCGAGACTCCATATCCCTCGAAATAGAGCTATTATCGTTCGCCATCATGAGCCTGAAAACGAGCCGTGGCAGCTTCACTCGATCACAATTCGAAGCCCACATATTCGAAAGGTTATGGCCGCTGTGTTCCAAGACTACCCAGGCATTGATGCGAAACTCGAAGACATGACCTTTAGAGCGCCTTTCCAAGAGCTCTTCTTCAGATGGGATAAGTTCCTGGACCTACTGCAAGAAGAGGCTGATGAGACCGTCATCGAGCACTGTAACCTGTTGATCGACACAATGAAAGAGACTCTGCAGCCCAAACTCGAGCGTGCTGCTGACCTCAAATCTCGAGACCTGATCGAATTTGAGTATCTCTGGACTCTCTTTGAGCCTGGAACCGAGGTGTACTCTAACATCGACGATCGTCATCGACTGTATATCGTCGACGATAGCTATCCTGTGGAGGCAGAGTACGACAAGACGGAATTCGTCGTTCATTGTAGATATGTCGATTTCGACGGAGGCAAGCTTGGTTTCGACACGGCGAAGCGCAAGATTCCCGTCTTCAAAGGCGTGAAAGCAATCACGGAGTTGCCAATCTACCCAAGTGCTGCTCGCACAGACATTGTGGCTATCAGGAAACAGCTCGACCAGCAGGGCCAGAAGATGCTTGCTCATTGCTGTGTTCGCTTTGTGCAATATACTGGCTTTTGCTTGGAGTACGACGACTTCAACCAAGATCAGAACCAGAAACCGAAATGGATTGACCATGAAAGAATCGTCATCGATGCGAGATCCTGGACGCAGCAGAACGTTTCCATGGCACCTGTTCTTGACCCGATCAGCTCGGCTGTGCGCCAACGCTCGCGAAGCGACAGCATCAGCCCCAGCAGAGGCTACGCAAAGCTGCCTCCACCGATGGACCCCTTTCCATTCCAAAATGGCGCGAAGCTCGAAATGTCTTCGCAGAAGGAGCCGGATCTCAACATCCCACCCCATCTCGTCAAGTACTGTGCACCCTTTGTCCGCGGCTTCAACTTGAAGACCAAGAAGTGGGTGGCGTGCTTCGTGGACGGTGTCGAAGATATTGAATGGAATGATCATGCTTTCGAGAAGTTGCTACTGCGTCAACAGTACAAAGACATGATTCTAGCCTTCATGGAAAGCCATATCCAAGCCAAGGATCAATTCGACGACATCATCAAAGGGAAAGGACAAGGCTTCGTCATGCTTTTGGAGGGCGAAGCAGGCGTGGGCAAGACTTTGACCGCCGAATCGATCGCCGAGCAGATGCATCAACCTCTTTACTCCTTGTCCGCAGGAGAGCTCGGCACGACTACAGAGTCCGTTGATCATGCTTTGCAGAGAGTCCTTGATCTCTGTGCCAAATGGCATGCTGTGCTCCTTATCGATGAATGCGACGTCTACTTGGAGCAGAGATCGGTCTCTGATTTGGAGAGGAATAAGCTGGTGGCAGGTAAGTTGTCTCAAACCACTCTCGTGATTCGAACAGCCAAATTAATACCTCAGATGGACAGTTTTCCTCCGTCTACTCGAATATTACGCCGGCATCATGCTGCTGACCACCAATCGTGCCTCATCAATCGACACAGCCTTTCAGTCTCGCATTCACTTATCGATCACTTGTAAGCATGCCCCAAAAATCCCACAATTTATCCTCTCAAATAAGCTGCTGATTGGACCAGATCCAAAACTCACCCAAGCCTCTCGAAAAGCAATCTGGCAGACCTTCACAGACCCGCGGGAGCCTTCTGAAAAACATTATACCGATGATCCAATCAGTGAGGATCAGCTCGATACGCTTTCGAAGATGGATCTCAATGGTAGAGAGATCAAAAGTATTGCCAGGAGTGCAAGACTGCTGGCTGCAAGAGACGAGAAGCCCTTGATTTTCGAACATGTTCAAGCTGTGCTGGACGTCAAGAAAGGTGGAGTCACGGGCGTGCCGAAGGTGGAATTATGGCGTGCGGCCTTAGCTGCCCTTTTGATGGGGTTGGTCACGGCGTGGTGGGTATATGGTAGGTTTGCTGGGCGACCTGCATCTACCATCTGTACTGTCAGCTACAAGGGTTCAACTCCGACCCTCACGAAATGACTGCAACACGACGGGGTAGAGGGTTGAAACGGTATTGGTACTTGGAGCGTTCAAGGGTAGCCGTAGCCATCCAACTCTGATCGTTGTATCTTTTTGGTGAGCATTTGTTAAAGCTAAACGGGGCGTGATAAAGTCGTTATATGCAAAGTCGAGCAGATAAAAGGATTTGACTTTTCACTCCGAAGAGCTTGACATCTGTCGTGAGGAAGAACACATCAGCGAAGGAGGGCGAGGAAGGCTGAAGTCTGTCAACTGTGTTTCAGTGTTCATCCGTACGCCATTATCATCATCAGCCCATGGCGGTAGCGGGATTGGCGAGCTAGGTATCGTCTCCGTTGGAGGCGGCACTGTCGTCCGAGGCGGCATGTGAGGAAGGCTGTCCACAGAATTTGGTCCACTCTGTTGCGATGGTACAACGGTGCTGACCTGCGATGGATGGCTTTGTGTCTGACCACGACCTGCTGGAGGAGCCATGATCTTGACTGGAGCGATGTCGCCACTGCCAGAAGCAGCTTGCGTCAAACCTGCGTTTGTATTGGCGGCTTCGGTCCAGTCTCCAAGCCTATCATGGGTTAATCTGGAGGGAGTGGGTTTTGTTTCAGGAAATAGCTGCTTCTTTTCCTGGGGTTGACTTGAGGGTACCACCTCGGCATCTTCATGGACGTTCTTTTCGACTTTGATGGATCTGGGACGACTTTCACCAAGTTCGGGAGAAGGCTCTCGATGTTTTCGAACCACGATATTGACCTTTTCGATCTCCAGCTTTTTCAAACCAGCACCTGTTGCTGCTGCTTTCTCTGATGTCTCGTCCTCGTCCGGTTCTTTAAAGTCTTCTACGATTCCATCTCCTTTTGAATGAGATTGAACTTTCTGCGTCTTCGCCTGTACCTGGGTCGACAGCTGCGTAGCTGTAATTCCAAATCTGTTCGCATCACGATCAAGCGCTGCATCGACCGGATTGAAAGTGCTCTGTTGCATCAAGGAGTAATAAGTATGTTCAGGCATTTCGTCATTATCTTCACTCTTTAAGTCATTGATGTCATGTTGGTCGTAATCTTCATCGTCAGTCGTAGCATCCAGCTCGATCATATCACTCTCAAGCTGAGATTCCTGAACAATCGTCGCTCTTGCAGTGACTCGAACAGCTTTTCCGGGAGAATTAAAGTCCATATCGCCTTCTTCAGAGTCCTGAATAGTCGCAGTGCGCTCAAGATGCTTCGTCTCTTTTTTCGGCGTACACGCGACCCTGGAGATCCAAAGCGGCTGCATAGACCCTTTTTCAATAGCAAGATTCGCTTCATTCTGGGGCTGTATCGGCGCGGACTTGTCTGGAGCCTTGCTGCTAGGACTAGAACCCGCAGGGCATTTCAAAGGCGATACATTGGTGCTTCGATCTTTCAGTGGCGAACGTTGATAGACTCCTCGATCTTGCGGCCGCTCATGCACAGAAAGTGTGATGCTCGATGGTGTCTGCGATGAAGGAATAACGACTGGCAAACCTTTTCGCGGCGTTTGTGGATGTTGATCTGACCCGGCAGTCGTCGGTCTCGTTGTATCGCTGCCGTGATCGGAAGATGCGGTGAGCGCTGGATGGTTGTAAAGTCTCGGCGGAGGAGAACTGGTCATCTGGCTCTCCGAATCAGATGCCCCGTCGCCTATCTTGCCGGACAGCAGTGCTGCTTGGTCAAGAGTGTCAGAAGCCGGTCCTGCACGCAAAGCTCGCTCACTCGATTTGTGGTCGGGACTAGGAGGATGAAGCATAGCGGCCACTAGATCCACATCTTCATCGTCATCGCCATCGCCATCGCTCTCATCGCTATCCCTCGCGTAGTCAAGCAGTTTCCAACACTGTGTCATCGTGGATTGATCATGCTCTCGCATGGCATTCTTGGCGCGCTTCTGCTGCGACCTCTTGCCTGAAGCCTGTGCCGTCGTCTTCTGCTTCTTCTTGGGCTGCGGCTCGTCGAAGTCAGGATCATCATCAGCGCTGTCGGTAGGAATGGAGAAGATGCTTCGGCCTCGTGTGGGGTTGTATGGCGACGAAGACGTCGCAATGAAGTCCAGCTGTGTCAAGGTGGACTGTTGTCTGGCGAGGAAGGGAGGCGCCGACTTTCGCTGGCGAGCAGAGCGTCTTCTGGCGGGAAATTCTGTCTGGACCGGTGCGGGCGGCAAGCGGCGGTGGACAGTGCCTGACATGCTTGCATCGTGTGTCGGAAAGTGAGCGGAGGCCGACAGTGTCGATGCGGTCGATGCGGTCGTTGCGGTCGTTGCGGTCGATGCGGTCGATGCGGTCGATACTGGCTGTGCACGTTCGCCTCCGCTGAGACGCGTCTCGATGACGGAGACGCGCCACGCCACGCCAAGCCACGCCACGCCAAGCCACGCCACGCCACGCCAAGCGAGCGCGACCGATTTTCCCGTGAGGCGTGAGCGTGCTCGCGCGCAGGACTTGCCTCACAACATCAACCATCAACCGTGGGCCCGCAATAAGTATGTCTGCCCCGCACGATGCTCATGCCAGACCACCGACAAAGCTGCGTGACGTCTACAAGCAGTACCAGAAGCTAAAGGCTGCTGATCTGGACGGCGACACGGGTCTCTTGGACACTCGCGATATGCACCCCGCAGTCGAATCCGGACGACTGCTTCAACAACACCTGCAGCTCCCCAATGGCCTGCGTACCGTCTTCTCCGACTTTCTGGGGCGTAGCGATGCCGTAGTGTCGGCACCTGACCTCAGCAAGGTGTACGAAGTTCAAGACATCCCCGGTAAGATCGCATGCCATGCCACTACTTCCAGCTCGCTTACGTCCAGCTCTGAGAAAGGTAGGTCTGTTGATATATCCCTCGCTGCTGCCTCCCGACGTGCAGCGCAGCCTGCTTGATAAATCATTGCACAGAGATGTGTCCAACTCCCAGCATCAAACTAATGTTCATCTCTTTCACCATGTCTTATACCCACCTTTGGACGACCACGGCAATACGAGCTCATTCTTCGAAACCTCTGCAACGAATATAACCTTTCAACCCAAGCATCCAAACGTGCACAAGACATTCTCGACAAAGCAATTCCTAACCCGAAAGCTTCGTTGGGCAACTCTGGGTGGCCAATATGACTGGACGAATAAGACCTATCCCGATCAAACTCCTCCCGATTTCCCGTCAGATACCAAGAAGTTGGTAGAAGACCTTTTTCCAATGAAAGCAGAGGCCGCCATCCTCAACATCTACTCGCCTGGCGATACGCTGAGCCTACACCGGGATGTCAGCGAGGAATGTAATCAACCTCTGGTCAGCATATCGATGGGATGTGATGCGGTCTTCATTGTGGGACTGGATTCTGAAGATCCCATCAATACCAAATTATGTTGCATACGCTTACGCTCGGGGGACGCGGTGCTTATGAAGGAGGCGAGCAGATATGCCTGGCACGGCGTTCCGAAAGTAGTTGAAGGCTCCTGCCCAGAATGGTTGGAGGACTGGCCCGCTGAGCTCAATGATGATGCCAAGTACGAACAATGGCGTGGCTGGATGAAGACCAAGCGAGTGAATTTGAACGTGCGGCAGATGTTCGATTGAAAGATGTAATCGCGCGAGAGAATGAGTGAGCGCATTGCGATCGCAGCAACTCGGGGCATTGAGCTTCGAAATCCGCCAAGACATTAATTTTTGTGGTCAATGTCTCCTTCAGGTGACGGGTTATGTCGCTCCTGCAATCCGGTTTGCGAGTCGCTTATGCCATACAGTCAGACGACTCTGACAGTCTTGAACATCAACGACTGACTATATGGGTCTGGGGCGGATCCCAAATCGTCAGGCCCCGTATACTTGCGCAGTTTGTAGATTGTAGGTTATTGAGTTATAACCTGTGTTTAATAACCTGTAGATAACCGGTTATTAAGTGAACGGCTCTTGTAGTTAAATAAGGTTGTAGGTTATCGCAATTAGCCTCTCTTAGTAGTAAAGGTACGCCGCGTCTTCTAATCTAAGTGCTATTCCGGCTCTTTACTAATTAACTACCCTTATTTATACTATCTCTTGTCTATTACTACTACTATAGCTCTAAAGCGTGCCGTAGACGCAGGCAATAGTAGTACTATAAAGCGGAAGCGATAGCGGCGGAAGAAGCCTAAGGCGGACGCGACTACGCAGTATCTATTACTATAGAAGTATACTAACGAGTACCTTAAATTCTTCCTCGACGAGTTAATTAAGTTGCGCGCTAAACAGACCGATAGCAAGAACTTCCGGTTAAAGGACCTGCGGCCTATTACTATCTAAATAAGCGAGAAATTCTAGCTCTAGTTTAAGGACGAGTCGTTAAAGAATAAGTAGATATAGATAAAGAAGGAGTAGCGGTTGTAGGTTATCTATTTAACCTATATTAGCGGCTAGAATAGCGAGCTACCTCGGTCGATAGAAGAGGTAGAAGATGCTTATAATAAGGCTTATCCGGAGTGCGCTATATTTCTCGAGCGCCTACCGGCGTAGAAGGAAGAGTTAGAGACACTTATCGGAAGTAATATAGCAATAGGAGATAGAGCGGAAACAGCGAAGACGTTAGCGGAAGATAAGCCTAGCGATAAGGCCGTAGATAAGTCGGATAAAGAGCCTAATAAGGAGTCTAGCGAGGACAGCGGCGGAGCGACTAAGTCTAAGGACCTAGATAAACTTAGTAAGTTTGAACGTTAGTGTAAGACTGTAGCGAAGAAACAGAAGCTTAATAAGTAAAAGATGCAGAAGGTAAAGGCTAAAGGCAAGCGTATCTATCGGAAACAGACTGCTAAGTAAGAGGCTAATAAGAAGGCCGCTATCTCTACCTTTAAGCCGCTATAAGAGATACTCGCCAACTTTATATCTATCTCCGAAGCTAGGGCTTCTACGCCGCTACTGCGAGTAAAGAACCTATTAGAGATTGTTTGTAAGCGGTTGTTTAATCCGGAGGTCTTAAAAGAGTAGCTATTTGCGCTAAAGAATGCGATAGCAAAGGAGGTTAGAAAGGTCAATTATCGTACTAATATCGCCGTATCGATAGTAAGGCCGGAGAGGCAGGCCGATTTCGAGGCGTTCTTCTAGGAGCTTTATTAGGAGGTTAGCAGCGCTCCTAAACTGCAAGGATAGTATCTAGATATACCTAATTATAGCTAACCGTCGCTATATAGTCCTATACCGAATAGAGGCTATCTATAGAGCTAGAGATAGGTTGTTGTTATTAGAAGAATGGATTTAGTTAGAATAACTAAGGTCGAATTTAGCTTCTTCCGAGACCGAGTCTAATTTATCGACTTTAGCGTACGAGGAGGAAAGATATTATATATTAATAACTACGGTATTTGGATTAATTAGACTTCATTAGCATTCGATAGTGTATTAATAAATTGCACGTAACTAGCCTTTATATAAACGCAATTCTCGAACTCTTTACCTCCTATATACCCCGCTAAGACCGCATAGTCGTAACGTTAATCGCATATACGACTGCCTATCTAGGATTTCGAGACTAATACGAGAGAGATTGTAGTATACTACTAATAGCTAAACAAGGGAAGAAACACTCGAATCCCTACTAAAATCGCGCTTCTATTCCTAACTAAATACCTCCGCGTATACCGCGACCTCCGCTACTACTGCGCTCTACGTATATAGAGCCTCTCCTGCTCTAGATACTCGAGATAGTCTTGCTATATATCTTCCGCCAATTTATTACGAAACCTAACTATATCTTTATCCTTAATAGCGCCTTAGATAGCGTTGCTCGCCTTGTCTCGATTACCTATTATACTACTCTTATTAACGGTAAGCTATAGCTCGGATTTAAGAGGTTAAGCGCTATAGCTAAGGATAAAGTTGTAAAGGACAAAGCAGGCTATAATAATGCGCTTTTAGTCGATAAGCTCGTATCCTTAGTAAGGACCTTACGCAACGATAGCGAAGCGCTTCTTAATAATGCCGAAGATCCTCTTAATATAGTTGCGAAGCTGCGCGTAGCGTAGATTAAACAACTCCTCCTTCGTCTTAGGCCTTCGCTATACGGTATACTATTCTCGTAGGTAATATCGTATCGCCTAGTATAGAACGAGAAGGCGCTTGTCGAGCGACGAGTATCTACTATCCGCTAGATAATATCGATCTTCTAGCACCGAGAATCTACTCTTAAAGGCGCGTCTAAGGACCGTACTATTATTCGTAGAGCCTTTGTAACCGACTAAAGTATACTAGAACCTGCAATCAAAGTTACACGCCGCTATTACATTCTACGCGATAAAGTTCTTCCTATAGCGCTACGCGCTCTATTCTTAGTATAGTATTTGAGCGTAGATATAGGTACCGTTAAGCGCGCCTATCGCACCTCTAAAGTATTTGAACTTATCTTCCTTTAGCTTCTCGTAGACCTCGTCCTTATTAGGTAACTTTATATACTTATCGGCCATCCGATAGAGCGCTTTGCTAACCTTCTCGATAATTAAATAAAAGATATTAAACGAGTGCTAATACTAATTGCGTAGCTGCCGCACCGATAGGTTATAGGCTACGAAGTCTAAGAATATTACTACCTGTTTATCGATATCTACCTTGATAGCGCCGTACTTATCTAAATCGCCGCTCTCTTCTAGCTCTTCGATTAGCGACCGTAGTACCGGCTGTCTAAGGCGCGTCGTACTATAGTATACGTCTTCCGGTCTATATAGACACTTATACGTCTCCTTCCTGCCTTTATCGCGCTCTATTAAAGTCTCGACTTTGCTAGAAGGTCGGTACTAGCGCCTCTAAGTCGTAGGTCGGAAGAAGGGCAGAACGGTAGTAAGAGATATACTAGTAAGAACAATAACGACTACGGCGACTCGAGCGGCTTCTATTATAGTATAGTAATAGTAAGGGAAAATAAAATATAGTATAATGAGAGATCTATAAGGCTAAGAGATGGATATTTCCGCAGCGGCTATTTAGGGGCTAAAAGCTCCTTACGAGGAGGTAGGTAGGTTATTCGTATATAACTGCTAGAATAAGCAATTCCGATTACCTATAATACGATAACCTACAATCTAGTTAATGGTATAGAAAGCGAAGTAAACGGCTAACAATAACCTATAGGTTGTAGGTTATAGGCGATAACCTGCCTTAGATAACCCGACAAACTACACAAGTATACGGGGCCTGATCATCAAGGGCCCAGCGCCACCTCCATTGGCGATTGGAAACTGACCCCGCTGCGGGGAGATCACCCTCGGGCCTCTGAATGTCATATCAACAACTACACGAAGCTTTACGCGACTACATGTATTCCTCGGATTCATCAGATCAATATTTCGCGGTCTCGCTCGCCCCATAGTCAAATCATGGCGCCTTTCAAGCTACAAAATCCTCCTAACAGAGAGATCTTAGGCGGAGATCTTCTCGCACAGGCTCTTCAAAATCTCGGAACTGATGGTGAGAGGACTCCAGCGTGTTTCGTTGTTGTTGAAACATTTTACTCACGATTAGATCCTTGACCATAGTTGCCTTTGGTCTTCACGGAGGTCACTTGGATGCATTCTTACTGGGAGCTCACGATTGCGGCATCCGCCTAATCGACACTAGACATGAGACCACTGCAGTTCAGGCTGCGGAAGGCTATGCAAAGATTTCAGGCAAGGTTGGCGTGTGTTTTGTTACTGCAAATAGCGGGTTGGTGAACAACTCATCACCATGCCACTGAATGCTGAAGGAAATCGTTAGCTTCTCGAACGGACTTCCAGGTCTTGCTACAGCTTTCGCTGATCGATCTCCCGTCTTTTGCATCACTTCAAGCCCGCCATTACAAGATGCAGAAACGAACGCGCTACAAGGCTTTCATGACCAAGTGATTGTCGCAAAGCCGATTACCAAATTTGTGAGCAGTGTAGCACCTGACACGGTGCTCATCACAGCTGATCACCTCCTGAACAGGCTCATCGTGTCACAAACGTTGAAGAGATCCCGCGTATAGTGGCCTACGCCTTCCGAAGTGCAAATACGGGTATCAAGGGCCCCGTGCTGATCGACTTCCCGATCGACGTCCTCTTCTCACCTCCACAGCTTGAGCGTGTAGCATTTGGCGCAGTGGACGTTCCTCCTGCGTCTCTGCCTGCACCTGATCCAGCAGCAGTGGATCGATTGCTGAATGCTTGGAAGACAGCAAAAAGACCCGTCATCATAACAGGCACTGGTGCAAGAGGAACAGACAAGGTTCTCAAGCAATTCGCCGAGTCCACAAACACTCCGGTCTTCTACTCGAGCAAGTTCTCGACACCGATCCCAGCGGATCACGAATTGCGTGCTGGGCCAGCATCTGCACTGGCAGCTTTTGCGGGCAAGGAACATCCGGACTTCGTCCTGTTGTTAGCTGCTCGTACTGGATTCCTTCTTGGAGGTCGTGGCGGAGCAATCATACCCAATGACGCGACAATTGCGCAAGTAGACCTAGATGGAGGCGAGATTGGAAAATCACACGCGATCGATATTGGTATTGTCTCAGACGCTGGTCTCTTTTGCGAAGCCGTGGTATCGAAAGCCGGAAATGCTGGTTTTGGCCGCAACGATGCTTGGATCAAGAAATGCCACGGTCTGAACAACACGGCTCTTCCGTACGCTAAGGACGGAAAAGTCATGCCCGACGGACAGTTACACCCTTATCATGCTATGGTCGAAGTCATGAAGGCCCTTCCACCGGACTCAATAATCATAGTCGATGGAGGTGAAGCTGGACAGTGGGCAGCCATGACCTTAGAGCTGGCAAAGCCGCATGTTGCTATTGTTGCAACGGGGTACTTGGGCTTCTTAGGCAATGGATGGGGGTACAGTATCGGCGCTGCCGTGGCAGATCCTAGTCGTCTGGTCGTGAACATTCATGGCGACGGATCCGCCGGCTTCCACATCCAAGAACTTGATACTATCGCGCGATTCAACCTCAATGTGCTCACTCTGGTCACGAATAATTTTGCCTGGGGTATGTCTGTGAATGGACAAGATCTACTTTATGAGAAGCAAACCAAGGCGAGACCTGCAACGGCGCTTAGCAAGGCTTGCGCGTATGAGGTAGTCGCCCAAGGATTCAATTGCGCTGGCGTCAGGATCACGCAGCCTGAAGAAATAGGTCCGGCCATCTCGAAATTAACGAAAGCGGGACCTTCGCTTGCGAACATGATTGTGAGCGTCAAGCCCACGACGCCAGCGACTCTCTCAATGGTCGGCATGACGGATGATCCTAACGTGAGTTGCTCGAACCTACGTGCAAAGAACTCTACTGACGACCATCGCAGTGGATTGTGGTCCCATATTACGATAATGTCCCAAGACCTTTCTACAAGCTTTCAGGCGCCAACGGAAATGCATGAAACTTTGCTGCAAGTGAGTGAAGAGCGTTCTAAATTTAGCGCGTTTCAAAAATCGATGGCTGGGGCAGGGTCTTGGCGTTCACAAGCAACTCATTCTTGCTATTGTCATGCAGGCGCAAGGGCCTCGAAGATCTTCTACAAGTCTATTGTAGAGTTGCTATTGTCGATCAGCACCATTTTTCAACTGGCGCTATATATCTTTACCTCCCATCTCGACTTCTTATCCTTCGCCTTGCCAACAACAACGACATCACATCTCGCGCACTCACGCCACCGGCTACAGAAGCTACTGATAAAGAGTGAGTACCTCTTACTTATCACACACAGACCCACTGCAGACCTTGCCATAACACCATGGGGACACTTCAAGTGAGGTCAAATTGAGTTTCAGACCAACCAAGAAGACGCTTCAAGTGAGGACATATTGAGTTTCGCTCCTACTTCTGGTTCTTCATCCCACCCGGTACCACTCTTTCACTCATCCTCACAGCATTTCTTGATTTGGATTTTTTCTTCGAGTCAATCCCAGAGACTGATCAGAAAAAAAAATAGCATCTCAAATTTTCTGCACCAGTTTCCAACTCAAACAACACACACCACACAATGGCATTAAACGCGATTCCACCAGAGGTGCAGAGCATCATCTGCGACCATCTCTTCGCAGACACGAGCGACGATGCGCTCGAAATCCTGACTCGACGCGTCCCAGCCCACGTCGAAATCAGAACCGTATGCCATGAGCTGTACGAAGCATCCAAATTCTCGTACAAAACGGCAGAAGAAAAAGCGGCGATGCAGCGGCAAAACATCCTCAACGACATGAAATCCAGATACGACTCGATCGCACCTCGCGTGCCAGTCGTCACAACCCACAACCTCTGTCTCCTCGCAGCCTCACTCAACAACAACTTCTGCCAACACGCCTGCGCCAAGCAAGGCTGTTACATGTGCAAAGATCCAGCCCACCGTCGCTGCTTCGAGTGCGGCCGCAATCTCGCCGTAGCTCTGTGGTGCAAAATGCCGAAAGAAGCGAGAAATCCCGACGATCAAAACGAGCGACCTGTGCCCAAACTCACAGATTTCAAAGCCAAAAGTTCTGGCAATACCATTACGACGCCGACCGGGAGCCTCATCGCCGGACTACAAGGCTGGAAACCAGCTGGGGATCAATTCGGTCGTATGCCGTGGGCTTTTCAATGGTGGTCGTCTCATTACCTCATCCAGACGGCCATTGATCTTCGCTGCAATATTCGGCGATTCGCTGTTAAGAGGTACAGGGCTGGAACGTCGAGAGATGACTTGGATGAGTTCAGTATTGCAGATATGGAAGCTGGCGATCGAAGGATGACGAAGTATGAGGGTATTCGGAAGCATTTTGGGCCCATCCCTTGGAGGGCAGAGTATGAGAGGAGAGGAAGGATCGAGGCGGAGGAGAACGGCTTGGCGGGCAGAGAATGAGAGAGGAAGGATCGGGGAGGAGGAGAACGGCGAGGATTTGAGAAAGGACCATCCTGATATGAGGCATGCGATGCATTATGGTCCGCGGCCCGAGTAGAATTCGAAGCATGCATTGGCCAGTGCTGATGACATGGCGCGATCTACTGTGATGGATGATGGCAAGCGATATTATGATATAGAGGAGTGCGACGGAAACTGCGGCCACGTCAAAGGAGTCTCTGTGGAAAACGTATTCACTAGACTCGGGTTATTTGGAAAGGCGAATAAGTATCAATTTGCCCGTACCCAGACAACAATATGCGGTGCGCGCGCCAGAAACGCTCAATAGAATCCTGAAATGCCGTGACAGCCAGCGCAAAGAATGATCCATCTGCTGTCAAGTTTCGTTGCTTGGAGAACGCACTCCTGACATTCCAAATGCCTTCCAAAGGCAAAAAGGTCCTCCTTCCTATGTGCTGATTAATAATATGTGCAATGCATTCGTTCCATCATCCATCGTCTGCTCGTGGGTGCTGTATTCCTGATTTTATGTGTCATTGGCTATTGGCTATTGGTTGTTTCGAATGCCACCTCCTTCCTTTCTGTCTTTGGGCTCATGAGCTCATCGTTGGGTATGCCTGGAAAGTCCTTTCCGTCTCTCTTTGCTTCAACTTCGTCCACGACACCAGATGATGGCTTGTCGAAGCCGGGCTCTCCGAAGACACTGGATCCGCCCCCAGAAGAACTTTCAAAGAAGCCTGGCGACTCGCTTTGAGTTGTGGGATAGCTTCCGGGCAATGAAGATGATCCGCTGGCTGCATTGAGCGCAGTATTACGCGCTGTATCACTCAGCCTACCATGATCGCCGCTCACAATTGACGTCATGAAGCTGGATGCCGTGTTTGATGTGCTCTCGCTGCTGCCGCTGAAGAAGGTCGACGTCGTCCGCGTCTCACTCGAGGAAGAGCTTGATAAAAATTCCGAGAACGGCTTGCGCCCCGCTCTGATCTGTTGCGCACCTGTTCGAAAACTTGTTGTCCAGTCGCTCTCTTGACTTTGGTTTCTGCTGCTATCTGCAGACGAGTTAGAGGTTGTCAGATCACTTTCGCTGATCGTGGAACTCTCGCCAAAGGAGACACCTTGTGATCTGCTTTGCGAATCAGACTGTCCTGAAGTCAAAACACCAGATGCACTGCGCGAGTACTCATCATGACTCTCATGACCCTGGGCGAGTCTGTCAAGACCATGCGGACTACTACCACTGCTTGCACCAGCCACGTAATTCGATTGTTGGTAGTCAACTAATCTCTCATCTGCACCGTCTCCGCTGCTAGCAATAGGAACGTGGGGATGGTTCAATGCGTGTTCGGGAATTGGTACTGCCGTTGTTGGCATCGAGCGGTTCGGCAGCGGCTTTCCACCGGGGAGTTTGAGATCGCCTGGTCCGATCAGAGAACTCCTGCGCAAGTTCTCGAGCTGAAAATTGGGGTCCTGAAAAGAACAACAGCGTTTAATTAGCATACGATTTCGCTTGGTAGATTTTTGAATGAAATCGCAAGAACTTTCGCGCAACATCTGAACAAGCTGCGCCAAACCTCTATCCAAAGCAGAGTCCCAAAATGCTCAAGCTCTTGGCAACGCCAATGTCTCATCGTCGTCAGTATTTCAACAACGAAGGTGTGAGGACAGGAAGATCTGGAGGAGGCGCAGCAATTATGCAAGACTCGCGAGGCATGTGAAAACCGCATTTAGGACATACCCAGTCCGCTTGATCAGGCACCCCTTCAGCAGGTGGAAGATCCGCTTCATCATCTCGGCCTTCATCTCCCCAAAAGGTAGATCGGCGCCTTGGTGCTGGAGTCACCGGTAAAGAGGGCCTGTCATCGGCAGTTGGAAAATCGGTGAGAATGAGGCTTTCGCGCCGTTGGCGTGCTTGCTCGACCTTTTCAATCAGCTCTTCCGGCTTAGGGTCGTTTGACGGCGAGAGGACGTGCTGCTGCTTATCTGTAGTCGTTGGAACGCCGATGGATGGAACATTTTCCTGCACGACCTGTACCTTCCCACGATTCTTCTGAAACGCTGTCAAGGCGCGTACGTAGTCATTAATGCCGTTCACCTCATCCCAGACGTTCTTCTGTTGAGCGAAAGAGGTCCATGGGTTATCGGTGACTTTGATGGTAGGAGTCACTGGCTCGATGTTCTTGTCGGTCGAAACCTCCAGTTCATCGGCATATGGCGCCTCTGGTTCCAGCTCAGGCGGGGGCGGAGGCGCTTCATCCTCGACGAATCTCCTCGTTGGTCTGCTGTGTTCGCGTTCCTCCCAAGGGAAGATGGGCTTCGGCTTCGGTGCAGACTGGCTCAGAGGAGGCGGAGGCGGCACCTGATAGTACATGTCTTTCGGCGGCTCTGGATACGACGGAGGAGGTCGGAAAGGCGCCGGATTAGTATTAAACTCGTAAGTTGTGGTGGGAAAGTCTGCTGCCTCTGGTCTCGCGTCAATTGGCGGTGCTCCACGGGTCGCATCCCATTCCATGTGAGGTGCCGAAAACTTGCGCTGTTGCACTGTGGGGATGGGCTGTTGATGGCCTTGAGCAAGATTCTCTGCAGGCTCGCCACGCTCAGCAAACGAAGGCGTGGCGGTGCCTGCATGGTGGTTTGACTGCTCGGGGGTATGATGGTGCGAGTGGTAATGCGGAGGCTGGCAGTGCTGCTGACGCTGCTCGGGGGCCTCAACGCCTTGATGTGACGTATAATATGGCTGGCCCTGGGCAGGGAAATGCTGCGGCGGCGGCGCGGGTTGAGTCGTCGCTACTGGATAGCCAGCGGCAGAAAACGACTCTGAAGCTGCTACTTGCTGGACGTGGACGTAGTTGGCGACTGGAGTTCGTCGGCCGGAAATGTAATCTGAGGTCTTTTACGCCGCTCAGCAAGATTCTTCGTCTGCCACGTATGTACTTACCGAGACTTGGAAATGCCGATCATAGACCGCCCACCATCTGCTGAGCAATTCCTGGAAGGCGTTCGGCGCACCTTTCTCATCTCGTGCCCTTTGCCATGGCTTATCCTTCCCAATGAAATGCACGAGGGTGATGTTTCGCTTCCAGTACCTGTAAGCAGGTTCGTACTGGTAATTTGCGCTCGGCGTCGTGTTGTATGTGAAGCTCAACCTCTTCCACGGGCGATTCTCGTAGTATTGGTTGAGTAAACCTTGGTCGGCACCATCAAAGCTGTCACCCGAGTCTGCAAGGCCTCTCAAGGCGTAGTACTCGCCCATGTCTGGGGTGAGCACCATAACGCCCGAGTTGAATGCATCCGGCCAGCCCACGTCGGGTGCTGCAGCAAACGAGTCTGGTATGTCAAACAGCTCTTCCGGCGCGCGCAGCGCCACCACGTCGGCATCGATGTAGACAATCTTTCGGAACTGCACTTGGCGCCATAGGTTGATCTTGGAGAAGGTATAGAGCAGGTCGGGGCGATTCATGAGATAGAGGTTGGCAGGCTGCGGGTTGCGGATTGGTTCGATAGGAATGACATAGTTGTATAGCGACTGGAGCTCTTCAATGGTGCTCGCTCGCAGGCCATGCTGCACCACGAGGCAGGCAAGCTTTTTCGTGGTGCCGCAGTCTCGTAGGGAATGTGCTAATACTGCTGCTCCTGTACGGTTGGACTACTGGTTAGGTATGATCTTTGGTGTTTTCATGTGTCGTGCTATGGTTGCTGGGTGGGTCGGCATACCGGGCAAGTAGGCATCGTTCATCACGAGCTACCTCCATGTCAGCGTTGCCTTGTCTTGGGCCAATTGATATGCAAATGGACTTGCCGTGCAGTAGACATCTTCCCCACGCGCCATGATGAATGCTGGATGTAAGCATGCAGCTCAATGGCAGAAGACAGACCTTGACAGAGGCGTGATGCTCTGTTGATACCAAGGTCAAGTGCAGGACCGGCTTCGCTTGGCTTGGCTTCGCTTCGGGACGGCCACCTCAACTTCATTTCCGCACGCTCACAGCACCATTCAACGAAACGTGCAAGCGGGCGTGTTGACAGCAACGACAGGGGGACGAAGGGTGGCCCAAGGCTCCCGTTCACGCTGGCAGCGGGTGGATATCGATGTTGCATGCGAGGTGTCACCGTGCGAAATTGAGCGCCAAAGAGCTCCAGCTGCGACAGCTCCGACAGCTTCCCTTGTTGCTAACATTAGAACTACAGTATTGCCAAGTCACGCCTCGAGAACCTGCACATGGGCCTTCAACAGCTCGCATAATCTCCCCAGCCAAGAACATGCTCTTCGCTGTGCCCTGGCTTCATTGCAACATCGCTAGCCTGCCCAAAACCTCGGTGGGCAGTCCATGGAACGTGCAGCGGGCGGGCACTTCGATCATCCGAAGTCGGCAACTGCTATTCTATGCCAAGCTTCAATTGGAGATGATAATCTCTCCAGCACGCTCTCTCGTGTGTACACGGCATCAATGCCAATGTAATTCGGCATGAGACTGAGGACAGATTGGCTTACCATAGAGGAATAGCAATAGCGAACCCCCCAACTCAATGGCTGGAGAGACATGACCTGACCTGCGCAAAACCCCCCCTCTCGGCGTCTGCACCCCGCGGGTGATCACTTCCAATCTCCATCACACCAAGAAAGAGCAAAGGATACAGGCAGGGAACAACGCAGCGGGCCTTGACCGCTAAGATGGCCCCTCTCAATGTGTGTATGGTCGGGACCGGCGAGTACACAACTGGCTTTGTCGGCGGTGGTCAGAGTGGCAGTGACAAGAAGGTGGGCGTAGTAGGACTGACGTTATTCGATCTGAGACGAAGAGGAAAAGTCGGAAAGCTGTCGATGGTAGGCACTTCAGGCCAGAAATTCCCAGCCATAAGAGAACACCTCCACAAAAACATCACTCAAGCCTACAACGGCCTCGACACATCCTTCGACTCCTTTCCACCCAACGACCGACGCGATCCGGAAGCCTACAAAACCGCAATCGACGCTCTATCTCCCGGAGATGCAATAACCATCTTCACCCCAGACCCAACCCATTATCCCATCGCCTTATATGCCATTCGCAAGAAAATCCACGTCATGATCACGAAACCCGCCGTGAAGCACCTATCCGAACACCAAAGCCTGCTCAAAGAAGCTCGCGAGAACAATGTATTCGTATACATCGAACATCACAAACGTTTCGATCCCGCCTACGCCGACGCACGGAACCGCGCCATCAACGGCAACCTGGGAGAATTCAACTACTTTTACTCATACATGTCCCAACCGAAATCTCAATTGGAAACTTTCAAAGCCTGGGCGGGAAAAGAGAGTGATATCTCATATTACCTCAACTCGCACCACATCGATGTCAACGAGAGTATGGTTCCAAGCTGGAGACCGGTTCGAGTAACAGGATCCGCGTCGAAAGGCATAGCCACGGATCTTGGCTGTGTGCCCGAAACCGAAGACACGATCACATTGCTCGTGGATTGGGAGAAGAAAGACGGATCCGGAAGGAGAGCTACAGGTGTATACACAGCGAGTTGGACGGCGCCGCAAAAAGCCGGCGTACATTCAAACCAATACTTCCATTACATGGCGTCGAAAGGAGAAGTCAGAGTCAATCAAGCAAAGAGAGGGTACGACGTCACTGAGGATGAGGGAGGCTTGAGCTGGTACAATCCCTTCTACATGAAATATGCACCAGACGAGGAAGGAAACTTCGCAGGTCAGGGAGGATATGGTAGGTGTTCATGAGTACTCCCACCTCCGAGACATCTGCTGACTGGTCACTCCTTACAATTTAGGATACGTCTCGTTTGAGAAATTCGTTGACGCCGTACAAGCTTTGAAAGACGGCAGAGCGACATTGGATGATCTAGACAAGCGAGGTCTACCGACGCTGAAGAACACCATTGCCACAGGAGCAATTCTCGAAGCTGGCAGGATATCTATTGATGAAAGAAGACCAATTGATATTGTCGAAAAGGATGGCGATTGGAGTCTACGGTAGAGAGACCTGTCATTCGTTCAGACTTGCGCTTTCGAGGTCTTCTCGCAGCCATGGGCTCAATTAATCTTGAATAAATTTCTTCGCTAACTCAGCGGGTGGTATCTAGCTGTCGAATCAGTAGAAACAGGCAGAACGCGCAAACAATACTGAATTGGAGTTCAATGACAGTGACAACAACAACACATCTCTTGTGGTTTCTCGCTCCTCAGTCCAAACCGCTCGGTTTAGAAATACCATTTTTGACCTTGTTCAGTCTCTTGAAACTTGCAATTCTCTTTGGAGTTGGCAGTAGTCGACCTTCGGAAGCCGGATTTAGTCCACCGAGAGAAGTATGAGGTATGGAAGTGATCCTCGGGTGGGGCGTGAGCGGACAAGAGACCGTATGTACCGTCTCACTCCGTCGCTGTTCTCGAATCCTGCGGTTTTGAAAAGCTTCTTCGTAAGGAACGAGCGGACTGATCGAACGACGGGGGCTGGACAGACTCTGCTCAATGGCATCCATCTCAGAACTATGGAATGCATTGCGACGCCTCTAGCGAATTGAGTCTTCGAATGCCGGTGCTGCCGGCGTGCTCTCTAGTGCTGGCGGGTCCTCTGCGTGGCCATTGGTGCTCGGGACGGGTGTCTCTTCACCTACAGGAACCTCTACAGTCATCGACTTGCCTTCCATCTGCTCAGAAGCAGTAGTAGAGGCAGCTTCTGGTGTGACAGCCTCCGGAACTGATTGCTCTTCAGCAACATCTTCGACTGCTGACTGGGCCGCAGAATGAACCGCCTCCTCTCGGGACTCGTCTTCTGGAACCACAGATGGCTCTTCTACCGAGGTTGTCTCGGCTTCAATCTCATCCGGAGTCGCAACAGAGGGACTTGCTGCACTTTTTGGGTGTCCGTTGGCTTTCGGCCTGTGAGGCAATTTCTGCGACTTTGGCGGGCTCTTAACCTCCGCCTCTTTCTGTGTCCGGCCCGATGATGCAGCGGTTGGTCGAGTCATACGCTCTAGAAAGCTGCCAGAGACTGGCGCACCCGCTTTCTTCGTCTCATTTTCCGAGTTGCGAGATTGCGGCCGTCCCAGAGATGGCCTTGGTGTCGCTCTCGTTGAAGAAGTTGATTTCGCACGACTTGGTGTCGACTTTGGCTCAGAAGCCGCAGGAGCTTCGTACTTAGCGCGAGAAGCTGCCGTTGGCGCCGTGAGCCGTGAAGAGATGTTTAGCGGCGTCGTAGTCTCTCGTGGTTTGGGCTTGGATGCAGACGATTGCTTTACTCCTGCGGCAGTGCTTTTGTCGGCAGCAGCAGCTCGAGCCACGGAAGCAGCGGTCGGCGCAGTCAGCGAGCTTCGAGAGGTCTTCTTGGTTGGCACCTTTGGCGGGGGCGCAGAAGCTGTCGACGCTGTGCGCGGTGATTTCACGGAGCTTGTGGACGGCCTCGGTGCACCCTTAGTGGCAATGGCTGGCGGCTTTGCATCTGCTTTGCCGTTGCTGCTCTTGCTTGAAGCTTTCGACGCAGTTGCCCCTCGCTTTCGCAAATCTCCAGCAGCTGGCGGTAATGCGCCTCCTCCGCTCACGGGCGCAGGCTTTATCTCTGCTGGGTCCTCTCCTGCTCCAGTCACATGCTTGTCAGGGCTCTCTGCCGGCTCATCGACTGTGCTTTCTTGCTTCTTGCCGAGCTCGATGTTCTTCTCTTCCCGTGGCATCTCTACAACTGCCTCCGGGATCGTGCCTGCCACAAGAGAATTGGTCTTCCGCCTCTCATGCTCTGCATGGACGGAGCCTTTCACTGCTGCGGCAACGGCACTATCCTTGTCTTCGCTGAAGCTCGATCGCCTGCCGGTGCTTGGGTCGCGATTGGGCTCAGGCAGAGTCGACTTGTCTGCCTCAGCATCAGGCGGTAAGGCCATACCGCTCAGTCGGTTCGGAGAGTGGACGGGGAAGAAGCTGGCTCTGACCTTCGATTTGGGTCGGCTGTCGTCGCTTCCGAGACCAGCGGGAGAGCGTCCGCGGGCGTTGGGCGAGCTGGAGCTGTCGTTTTTGGTCTCGAACAGTGAACGCAACCTGTTGACACTGGATGCTCTTTCTTCGGAGGGTGTCATTTCTTGTAAGCGCAAAGTTAGCTTGATGTCATCGAGCCGCGGTGGAAAGGGCGGGCAACGAATAGGGGATGGTGATGTCGGAAGTCGACTCTGGGTCTTGTGCTAGCAGTCGCGAGAGGGCTGCGTTGCCATTGCCATTGCCATTGCGTCGCCATTGATGTGATCTGGCACAAGGATGTTGATGTATCAAGGCCAAGGCGTGTGAAACGGCCAGGCAGGGCCAGGTCAGCGGTCAGGGGCGTGCGTGCTGGGAAGTGCTGGCTGGATGGATGAGGTGAACTCGAATGTGCGTTTGGCGCACGCGGGAGACGAAACACACTTACACGGCCGCAATCAGAGATGTGTGCAGCAGCTCACTCGGACATGGCGCGGCGGTGAAGACAGCACAGGTGCGCGATGGCGGGAAACAACAGCAAGATAATGCAGGGTCGCAAAGGTGGAGCAGCGCGGTGGGAAAAGGAGAAGGGCAGCAAGCAGTCTGATATGCCGACCAGCTAATAAAACGTGGCCTGGCCTGGTCTGTTCGACGAAATATGATTATTATTGCCGTTGTGACGAGACTCCATTCGTCGTGTACCGCCAGCGTCAGGGCAAAGTCAATATCCGCTGTAAATTGCGCTTCGTCCGGGCCAATGCGGTGGCCTGGTCTGCCGGTCTGCTGGTCTGCTCCATGGCCTGTATCCGGGGTTTCGTCAGTCACTTTACGCCCGCTGATCGCGGGGAAATGGGCTATACGTAAAATCGCGATTTGTTAGTAGGCCACACGTAAATCTCGATATAATCGTACTTTCCAGTCCTATTCGGATATCTAGGTAGATACTATTATAAACCGCGAGTCTAAATATTATATAAATAGCCTTATCCGAGTATATAGTAGCTATAGACCTTACTACCGCTATTTTCTTATATAATCCTTAGCAGGCGCGTCCACCTTATTCTAAAGCGCGTATTCTCCTATTCCTTCTCTTCTACTATATAGATTATATATAATCGTAGCTATAAGGCGTAAAAAAGGCAAAAAGGCGAAGAGGGTGCGTACTAAGCGGTTAACTAAGACGGAGAGGGCGGAAAGGGTAGTAGAACGCGTCGTTTCGAGGTACTATAAACTATAGGCTAAATTAGTTAATCTTAGTATACAAGAGGTATATAGGATTAAGAGGGCAACCGACCTATATTCGCGAATATACTAGCGATTAAGAGGCCGTCTATCGCTCCTATCGCGGCTGCCGACTAATACTAAGTTAATAGAGGCTTAAGAGCTAGCGCTAGCGGATTATTGTCGAAAGAGGGACGAAATAGGGATATTCTTACTAGTAGCGCTAATTAGCGTTATTACTATAGATATACTAAAGAGAATGTCGCCTAATAAGGTTATACTACTATTCGGTAGTAACTAGGCTAAACGATTCCTAGCTCGGCATAACCTTAGCAAGGTAAAGTCTAAACCTATTAAGAAGTAGCGCAAGGAAGCCTATAACCCTTCGACGATAAGAGCGTAGTTTAATCGGTTTAAGGCGATAGTAGAGCGACTAGGTATAAAGCCGCGGAATATATAGAATTTCGACGAAACCGGTTTTCGGATTAGTATTAGTAGTAACGAATACGTAGTTATAATAGACACGAAGCGGCGCGCCTAGACTAAATGCGACACTAATCGTATATATATAACCGTAGTCGAGACTGTTAACGCGTATAGCGAGGTAATTAAATATTAATTAATTGTTAAAGGTATAATAGTTTAAGAGCGTTAGATACTAAAAGAAGGTAAGTCTATTGCCGAGACCGAGTCTATTGCCTAAGGCAATAACAACGTTACTTGCTAACTATACCCTCGTTATTAGGTAAGGACAACTTCTTAATTACTATTAACGAGTCTAGTTATATAACAGACGATACTGCTATATACTATATCTATTAGTTTAAGCGTAAGACGAGACCTAAGGACCTAAACGAATAGAGGGTGCTACTATACGACAATTATAGCTCCTACTGCTTTAAGGAATTCGCGGCCTTCGCGAAGCGCTATAAAATTCAATTATAGGGCCTATAACTATACACTTCGCACTTTATATAGCCTCTCGACGTTATACTATTCTAAGTATATAAGTTAAAGCATAGACAAGCGGTCTTAGAGGCTATATACCGTAGTGTTAGTAAATTTAGTATTCCTAAGTTTATAGAAGCCCTTTTAGCTATTCGGGTAAAGACATTTACTAACTATAATATAAGGGCCGCATTCCGTAAGATAGGCTTGTTCCTAATTAATAGAGAGGTTCCTTGTCGTTACATTCGAGATTAGTATAACGCTATAGACTACAATTAGAACTAGTAGGTAATCGAGGGCGAATTAGCGTAGGAGGAAGCCCGATACGAAGAATCGCTTGCAATAGCAGATGCCGCTTAGTAGGAATACCTCGCATCGGTTAAGCGTAAACGTTTGCCTAATCCTAATATTGTCGATCTAGATAGGTAGCACTGCGCTAACAGTCGTTACTATTTAAGGGATCTCGAGAATATAATTGCTTAGGGCATGCTATCTTTACTACCTTAGCCGATCCGGACGCTAACACCCGAATTGCTATAATAGTTGCTAGTTACTACTACTAGCCCTCGTACGATCTAGGCATCTCGTAGTACTATATAAGCTCGTAAGGACTTCCGACGTCGCTATCTAAAGACCGTACTACTTAGTATCGATACTATATTATCCTTATTTAATCTATTCTCCTTATTACCTATAAAGCAAGTAGAAGCTATCTATAATACATTAGTCGATACGGCTATCTATAAAGGTGAAGAATATAAGCGCAAATACAAGTCTATAAGCCTCGTTAAACGCGTAAGGAAGCGCTAGAAGGAGCAACTAAATAGGCTTATTCGAGCTAGTACGATTAAGGCTTCTAAACTGCGCTTATAACTTACTTAGTAAGACAAGGAAATAGCTAATAATTGCTACTAGAAGATGCTCCGTAAGGCTAAGTCCCTATATAATAAGGCACGCTAATATCGACTAAAGTATAGCGAGGCCTTTCGTATTGTATTTAATAACAATAGTAAGACTAAGTTTATAGACGTTATATTGCAGCCTATCGATAAGCTACTATAACGTGCCTTCGACCTTCGGCTTCTTACTACTACTATTACTAACAACGACTCGGTAAAGAAGACCGGTAATCCGTACGCTAACATTATTAGCGAATATAAGCGATATACTTATACCTCCGACAGCGGCGACATTACCTATACGTAGAGCTAGGTATAGACACTATTACTACCGAGCCGTACCTGCGAATACGAAGAAGGTAACCTTCTAACCTAGACTAACGTTAAGTCAAAGCGGCGATTAAACGGCTTATTCGCGTAAGAGCCTAATATCCGACTAGACTAGTTATAATAAAATAAGGCGCTACTTAATAAGGATACTATATATACTATAATTTAGCCTTATCTAGTATATCCTCGTCGCCGTTAAGAGTCTATATAGCGGAAGCGGTATTTCTACGAAGATCCGAAGAAAACTAGTCGTTATAAGGGCTTAGTTGCTAGCAGTAAGAACGACCCTATTAAGCTAGAAGATATATAAGAGGCGGCAGTTACATACTAGACATATAGGCTAACCTGCATAGTAATTAATTATATAGTCGATGCGAGGTACGCGCTAAGGCGATAGGAATAGGTATATACGGTCGCAATTTGCTCGAAAACTACTACTTCTTAACTATAATCGCACGCACTATCGATTTCCTATCTTATACACTATATAATATACGCTAGCGTCGAGATTTACGTATAGCCTACTAACAAATCGCGATTTTACGTATAGCCGAAATCCCCGAGCGTAGGCGAGGGGTAAAGTAGCTATTAGGGCTAAAGGGGCTATATGTGATTAGCATATAACTAGGCCGAGTGAAGCTAGGGTCTTGATGCCTTAGGCAGGGCTTAGCGCTTAGCGTTAGGCTAACTCTCCTACCTTCCTCTCTCTCCTCCTAGCTTCTTATCGAATACTACTTATACCTACTACTACCCTATCTACCTGCTAACATAACCCTTCTAATATAGTATTCGATCTACCCTTTAAGGGCAGTAGCTAGATAGTCCTTATTTCAAGCTTTTAGCGGTATAGCTACGAAAACTATCGATTTAACTATATTGCGCCCGAAGAACGGGACCTATACGTACTATTCTACTAAAACAACCGTACTAATTATCAAGCAAGGCCTTCTATACGGCCCATTACACTAAGTTAAGCATACTAGACCGATATTTACTAATTCCGCTATATCCGTATCTTAGGGGCTAATAATACATTATTAGTGTTACCCCCTATTATAATAGCCGGCTTATTACGAAGCAACAATAACCGTACTGCCGCTAGTAGCGCTAGCAATAACAATGCTAGTAGCATAGTACCTGCTAAAGTGCCTGCTAAAGCACCTACTAAGGTGCCTACTAAAGAGCCTGCTACTAGGCCTGCCGAAGAACCTATAGTTCTAGGTAACGACCTAGAATTGCCTATCGACGACATTCTTAACAATATTGTCAACCGTCGATATAGCTAACTAGCCTTTAGCCCCTAACTAGTAGGGAGACTCTAAGAAGCTACCTAAAACAGGCTTACTGCCCTACGTTAAGAACAATAGCTAAAGGATAATCTCCTCGAGATTCGCCGCCTATAGGAAGCCCTAACAACTACTGCTAGACTAGAGCTAGTAGCAGTACCTTCTATTTAAAAGAAGGACGCTAAGCTTAAAGACTGTACCGTATTTAATGGCTCTAGCCGCAAGCAGTATAATAATTATATACGTAATTGTGAATTGAACTAGCGGAATGCACTAAGGGCCCTGCTAGACGACTATTCGCTAGTCGTCTATGCTATACAATATATTAATAGAGACCTAAAACGCACCTAGGATGACTATTTCGACTCCCTTACTAATTAGACCGCTGTTTAGTAGCAAGACTATAAGACTATTATGTTAGACACCCTTAGAAACCCTATA